TATCTTGACTGTTCACTTTAAGAATGCAAATTGCCTTGAAAATGTTTAAACTAATTCTACAAAGTTATTACATGTGAAAATTAAATAAAAATAAAGGCTTTGCTTGCATTTTATTTTGCAGACATATCATCCCTCAACTTTCATTCAGACTTTGAATGTCCACACATATCTGAGGGCCTGTTGTGATTACCGTAAATTATATCTGGTTGCTTGTTTTGGGTTTCTCAGTTTTTATTATCATCATTGTTTAGTGCAAGCCCTTTCCTGAAAAGTTTGATTGATTTGATTGATTTTGTATTATTGTTTCAGTCTACCTTTTATGGTTTTCTGTTGTAGCATAAGATCTGTACTATTTGATAATTTTATACAATACCAAATGTAATAAATCCAGCATTTCACCAGGAACCTAAGCAACAACAAGGCTTTCAGGTAAATAGAAAAAAGTGCTAAGTATTAATGCCCAGTTCCAGACTGGGACACAGAGTTATCCTGGCATTTAAAGCATTCTGGGTATATGTTTCTGCATGGCCAAAGTTACACTTTTTAAGTCCACTGATACAAGTGTACAATATTACCCTGGGTCAAAGTAGGTCACTTGACAGATACTAAAAGTGTCAGATTTTTAATCCTGGACTATGGGAAGCCCACTATGATATATTTATTGACTACACCCACTTTTTCAAAAAATATAAAGACATTTTCTCCATACAAAATATTATTACTTATGTGTTTGCTTGATCAAGACTGGAGAATGATGGATAACCTAGGTCCTGCTGGTCATTATCAAATACTGTAATGGGGTTTTGCTAAAGCACAGTAGCTACAAAGGCTTTGGAATTTTGTAAAACTAGGGGACTGTCAGATAAATAGCTGTTCAGTTCTTTTATATTTCAAATGACTAAGTGTGGTCATGTATAGTAACAAATCCCTGGTCTCAATGTAAAAATGTCTGAAAAAACTATATGTGTTGCTTATTTCAACTCTAATCTTTAAATGCAAGTTTCAAACAGAAATGTGATCTGTTTGCAGTAGGAAGTATTGGAATTTTGCATGTTAAAGGCTCTTTAATATGAAGCCCATCCAAACCAAAATAAATTAACATTCATCTATAGGTTTCACCTCTCTTTTACTATTTCAGTCACTTTTCAGGCAATCAGCTTTTTAATTTTTTTTTTATGACCTTCTTTTTCAAGTAAAATCTCTTTTTTCTATGTTAGAGTAGAGAATCAGAGAGAGTGGCCAGAATAAACATTTTTTTCATGTCCTCCCACGTGCCTGGCAAGCTACTATTTGAACTGCATTTCCTGACAGTTATGTGAAAACCAGTTCACCATGTGGGAGAAGACAGAATGGTTTTCCAATGATAGGCATGGCAGAGGCAGACATTCAGCATTAACATTTCTTATTGCCTGCCCACTCCCTATGTCCTATTGTGGAAGTGCAGAGTGACAATGCAGCAGTGATTTCACTGCAGTAGAAATAGTGTTATCAACCCAAAAAAATTATGTCAGGGTTCTAGAGTTGAAAAGACACAATGCAAAATTAAATGCGCTTCAGTAATGATTTGCACTGACTGCAACAAATATGTCATTTTGACTGGGTTCACACTAATACGGTGCGGAATTCACAGTTTTTAATGTGCGATTCTAGTGTGGACCCAAAAAAGGGTCCTGCACCTTTTTGGTGCGCATGCGGTTGCGATTTGAGCCATATATAATGCATGGCTCAAATTGCACTGCACAGAATTCGCATGTGTGATTTGCACAGAAATGCGGTGCGGTTCATGTGCGAATTATATACGATGTACCGCACCGCATTAGTGTGAACCTTGCTTGAACAAAAAGTTCTGCTTTAAGAAAAGTGATATTTTAACATACACTGTACAAGCTGTACCATATTCAGATGGTGTGTGAAACATCAGCTATTTGAGTGTAGAGAAGCACATGTAATGGTCACTTAGAAATTAATTACTGTACCGTGAAGGAAAACACCTGCAAGATATCAAGAAAAGCTGGCTGCATGCAGGATAATTATAAGACTGGGGCAGTCAGCATGAGTTCCTTTTAATCTGAATGCATGGGGAACATATTGATCTAAAATTTCTGTCATGTACCAAACCTTTTGAAATTGTTCATAATTTATAAAATGCTTACATAGCACATCATTTTAAATGCTACATCATTTTTTACATTTAAAGACTATACAGAACACCTCCAAAAACACAACACGCCTCTGAAGAAAGTTCTGCTCTACAAGATTGCCTAGCCAAGTAGCTCTGATGACTTCCTTAGATCAGTGTATTTGATAAAGTGTTGACTGCAGCCAACTAGATACATGCCACAACTAATATGTGATCCCTATTCGTCACACAAAGATATACATTTTAGGAGCAATCAGTTTGTTCGTGTTTATTATTAATAAAATGATAACAATTGCTGATGTTTTTTATCTTGCACTGATAATAGAACAGATTAGTACAGAAGCATGTAGCTCACAAATATTAACTTAGGAAATGCAACGTGTCTTATTTAGGTTATGGAAACTGTTACATGCCTTGTTAAACATCCTAAAATAGTTTTTTTTTTTTATGCTAAATATGCAACTTGTTCTCAAGCAGTTTTTTTTTGTAATTTGATGCAGGCAAGCCATCTCTAGACCACCCAAGGACTGCAGCTGACTCAGGTCACTGAGCGCTAGTACAACTACTACAGAGATATACACAATTTCTAAGGTAGCCCAGCAGGTGTGCTCGTCTATAAAAAAATATGGAACAAGTAAAATATCCATGTGGCCATCCTAAAAGAGATAGGAACAATAAAGACCCAATTTGTCTGTCTTGACATAAGGCTTAGAGCACAGTGTAAATTTAGAAAGGGGTAATATACATGTTACTGCATTACTGCGTATTCAAATGTCTGCTTTTTCTCTGCTAAAAATACACTAATATCATCACAAAGTACCATGTACTTACCTACTTCATCTGTAAACAATACTACTAAATGCATAACTCTGGCTTTGAAGTTTCAATAGGACTTAATTAGAATCTATAGGAGACATCCTATCTTTAAAAAGTATTATAATTATGAATATACAGCCTAAGTAGAACTGGACCTGCTTACACAGCAAGCAATTCTGAATTTACACAACACTATTGCAAGACTGGCTGCTAGGCAAACTGATACCTACCAACACTCCATATACTTTAAATAATACGGGTGGTAGATATGGATTATCAGTTTAAAAATACATGTCAGCTTCTATCAAAATGGATAATTAAATAGTAGCCTATTAGTGTTGTATAGTAAAATTCATAAAAAAAGTCATATTCTTTGGGAATAAATGATGATATGACATACGTGAATTTAGAATTATCACTTCTACAGTTCTCATAACCCTTATTAAAGCCTCAGTGATGAGAGGGGTTACATTCTGACTGGTCACCAGCTATTACATAGAATACAACTAATAGGCTGCACTGAAAAATTGTGTCAAATCTAAAGACCTCACAATCCAAAATCAATACTTCAGATGTACTTTTGTTCAACTTTAGCAAGCGGAAAATCAAAATCAGGCAGTTCTTTCCTACTGAGTCTTTGTAAGTAAAAAAGAAAACAGGAACCTTCATGATTAAAAACCAATGCATACGGCAGCCCTTTCGAAATGAGGAGCAAGAGAAAAGCAAAATCATTGACAAAACAGCTCTCATTTTGGAGCATTCCAGCGAAAAAGGAAATCTAAGACAGCCAATGCTTCTTAAGAGCCCAATGAGGGCAACATCATGCTTAAGAGCTTTTCTGCATTTTTTTTTCTTTATTGTCTTAAATATATGTTGTTGTTTTCTTCATTTTTTTTCTTGCTTTGTGTATTTTTTACATAGGAAAAAAGAGAAGCTTTCCTAACATTAAATTATGCCTACCTAAAACTGCTTTACCAAATGGTGCAACAGACACAGATACTGTGAGTAAGAAATGGAATCTTCAAGTATATGAAAAGGGTTTTTGGGGATATGCATGAAAACATGGCCACAGAGAAATATATATACATCTAGATTAATAATACTGTATCAAACAGGTGGAAAAAAAGGTGTTGGAAATGTCTGCCTATGCACAAAGCTAAAATTTTCTGTTCATGGCCTCAGCTGCTCGAAAAGTCTGCAATGTGCCATGTTACAAAGCAAAGCAGACATTCTAGTAGCTAACAGACCATCAAATATACAGATACTAGTCAAAAAACAAGTGCTTTATTTACTGCTCCCTTACAACAGTATTCCCCATAACTTCCTTGAAAAATCTTCCTCAAATTGGCTGCTTCCTCTGCCATTGCAATGGCATGACCAACTGTTTGCTAAGAAGATTTGCTTTTAACGTCAAAAGTAGTGTATGTTTGTCTTCTTCTCTTAAACACACCTTGCTTGGTCTCTGACACAGCACAAAGCTTCAATGGGTTTGTTAGCCTATGGGGACTGGGAATCTGATGGAACAAAGAGCTTAACCACTGTTTGAACTGAACAAGAAGATGAGCAGCCGCTCTGACTGGACATGGCTCTTACGCAAACTTTGTTTGGGTGGCTGGCAGGCACATGTTGAAATTACACCGAGTATTTCAGGGCTCCATGCAAGACTAGTTAAGAGCAGTGATAACAACTTGGGTGATGCTTTGGGAATATTATAATATGTGACATTTGGTCTTCTAATTCCAGTGTACAGTGATGAAGTATGACCAGACCTACCTGTCTACAGTTATCCTAAGATCATCACTTGTTGTCTGTAACATAATGGGTACATCTGGTATCTTCACGCAGAAAATCATGTATACAATGAAAGAACCTACAAGTGTATAGGTTTGGCATGAAGTGATATTTGCTTCTTTCGTGTTGAAGGATAAATAATGAATGTGACACCTGCTTTGAGCCCAAATCCTGCCAAGAGCTCATGCGTAAATATTTTTGTTATTAATATTACTTAATATTAACTTCATACACTGCTAAAAGTAGGACACATTCATAATCCCTGTTTGGCCAGGGCTGCAGTGACGTCTTCTGCTAGAGTAGCAAGCTGTGGGGATTCTAGCAGATTGATGCTTCCAGAGGATGACACATTGCTGAGACGCCGTGGAGAAGCCACACTGGACCTTCCTGGAGATTCTGTAATAATCTCGGCGCCATGATCTACACGGGCCTTTGCCTGTTCACGGAAATGCAGTTTCTGGCTGTCTATCTACAGAAAGAAAATAGAAGAGCAATACAAAATGATTTAGTGTTATCTGCACACTTCATAAAGCATGTAGGTCAGCAATGTGAGTTGGAAAATTCTTTTCTATAAACTAGTGTTCAAAATTATCTTCTGCTTACATAGTTCTGGCAATGATTCAGGGCTGCTATCCAGGAACAACTGGGACAGTGACTTACTGATTAATGAAAAAGGAGAGTCTCTGAACATCATGCAGTTGTATATGCCAATATTCTGCCTATGATGCTTTAAAGAAAAATTCCAGACAAAAAAAAAAATCGTAAAAATGACATGTTTCTAGCATTTTTTTCTCTGCTTTTTGTTTTTTGAAACATCACACATAGCCCAATTTAGGTGAGTTCCAGACAAAAGATAACCCATCTACACCATGTACAATGCAATTATACCCAGCACTAAAACCTGCCCCCCCCTACCTCCAGCCAATCAGTAATTAGAATCTTAAAGCCTACATTTAGCTAAAAAATAAAACAGAAGGATCAGCACAAGGAATATAATTTACAGTTAGTATGACGTGTCCCTTGTGTTGATTCTTCTTCTTTCAGTAGAAATCTTCCTCCTACCCTTTCCACACTCCATCATGATCTTCGAGTGCAGCAGAGGCCAATACAACTAAAGGGCTGTCAGGAGCCCTAATCAGTAGAGCTTGACTATGCCAGATCTTTCAGTTATAGAAGCCATACTACAGCTTCTATGAATAACACAGGATCTCTAAATGGGGGAATGGGTTGATGATTGATAGCTCCACCCCCTCCATTCAGGAATCCTGTGTCATTCATAGAGGCTGTAGTACAGCTTCTAGGAATAGAAGATCTGGCAGGAAAGGGCATAGTGAAGTTCTCTTGATGAGCGGAGCTCCTGACAGCCCCTTAGCTGTGTTAACCCCCGCTGAACCTGAAGAGCATGATGGTAGGGGGACCCGAAGGAGATTTCTACTGAAAGAGAAGAATCAACACAAGAGACACATCATACTAACTGTAAGTTATGTCCCTTGTGTTGTGTAGATTTTTTCTGTTTTTATTTTTAGCTAAACTTAAGCATTAATACAGAACTAAAGCCACCAATTTTAACTGTTTCCATCACAGTTACATTCAAGACATGCCATGAATAACAATTGTCACAGTTACAGTGCCTTGAAAAAGTATTCATACCCCTGGAAATTTCCCACATTTTGTCATGTTATAACCAAAAATGTAATTGTATTTTATTAGGATTATATGTGATAGACCAATACAAAGTGGCACATAATTGTGACGTGGAAGGAAAATGATAAATGGAATTTCAAAACTTTTTACAAATAAATATCTGAAAAGTGTGGCATGCATTTGTATTCACCCACCTTTGCTCTACCTCTAACTAAAATCTAGTGGAACCAATTGCCTTCAGAAGTCACCTAATTAGTAAATAGAGTCAACCTGTGTGTAATTTAATCTCAATATAAATACAGCTGTTCTGTGAAGCCCCAGAGGTTTGTTAAAGAACATTAGAGAACAAACAGCATCATTAAGGCCAAGGAACACATCAGACAGGTCAGGGATAAAGTTGTGGAGAAGTTTAAAGCAGCGTTAGTTTAAAGAAAAAAAAATCCAAAGCTTTGAACATCTCATGGAGCACTGTTCAATCCATCATCCAAAAATGGAAGGAGTATGGCACAACTGCAAACCTACCAAGACATGGTTGTCCACCTAAACTCCAGTACTAGCCTACTAAGATAACTATATTTGCATCATCATTGCATATAACACATGCTAAGGGATTTAATTAACTGTTAACCTACATCACTTCTCTGAGACCACTAAGGGAGCATGTTTTTTCCACTCAGGTCACAAAGTGAAAGTTCAGTCAAAATCTAACTAAGGCTAAACCTACTCCTGCCCCATTCTAAGCTTTTTCTATCTAACCCTGTAAAGCAGAGGTCTCCTAACTTTCTAAACAAAGGGCCAGTTTCCTGTCCTTCAGACTTTAGGAAGGCCAGTGGGGGTAGAAAAGATTCTGACATCAGTGGGAAAAAAATAATGCCCTATTGTTTGGTGCCAGTGAGAGGAATTGTGCCCCATTGCTGGTGTAATTGGAAGGCGTTGTGCCTCCTTCATATGTGTAAGTGGGGGGAATTATGCCTGATTGTTGGTACCAGTGGATGAAATAGTGTCCCAAGGGCCAGATAAAGGCAAGCAAAGGGCAGCATCTGGTCCCCAGTCTGTAGTTTGGAGACCACTGCTGGAAAGAAAGGATATATACTTACCTACTTTGAAGCTGCTCTGGTCTGGTCACATGATCTTTCCAGCGTCAGCTTTTGTGCAGAGGACAGATAGCCAACAATGGCTGCAAATACAGTGAGGAACACAAGTATTTGAACACCCTGTGATTTTGCAAGTTCTCCCACTTAGAAATCATGGAGGGGTCTGAAATTCACATTGTAGGTGCATTCCCACTCTGAGAGACAGAATTTAAAAAAAAAAATCAAAATTTATTTGTCTTGCACTGATGAACATAAGTATTTGAACACCTAAGAAACAGCAAGAATTCTGGCTCTCAAAGACCTGTTACTGTGCCTTTAAAAAGTCCACCTCTACTCCACTCATTAATCTAACTTAGTAGCACCTGTCTGAGCTCTTTAAAGACACCTGTCCACCCCACAGTCAGTCAGACACCAACTACTACCATGGGCAAGACCAAAGAACTGTCAAAAGACACCAGAGACAAAATTGTGGACCTCCACAAGGCTGGAAAGGGCTATGGGGCAATTGCCAAGCAGCTTGGTGAAAATAGATCAACTGTTGGAGCAATTGTTAGAAAATGGAAGCAGCTAAAGACGACTGTCAGTCTCCCTCGGACTGGGGCTCCATGCAAGATCTCACCTCGTGGGGTATCACTGATGATAAGAAAGGTGAGGAATCAGCCCAGAACTACAAGGGAGGAGCTGGTCAATGACATGAAGAGAGCTGGGACCACAGTTTCAAAGGTCACTGTCGGTAGAACACTACGCCGTCATGGTTTCAAATCATGCATTGCACAGAAGGTTCCCCTGCTCAAGTCATCACATGTCCAGGCCTGTCTGAAGTTTGCCAATGACCATCTGGATGATCCAGAGGAGGCATGGCAAAAAGTCATGTGGTCAGATGAGACCAAAGTAGAACTTTGTGGTGTAAACTTCACTCGTCATGTTTGGAGGAAAAAGAAGGATGAGTTGCATCCCAAGAACACCATCCCTACTGTGAAGCATGGGGGTGGTAACATCATGCTTTGGGGGTGCTTTTCTGCAAAGGGGACAGGATGACTGCACTGTATTAAGAAGAGGATGAATGGGGCCATTTATTGTGAGATTTTGAGCAACAACCTCCTTCCCTCAGTCAGAGCATTGAAGATGGGTCGTGGCTGGGTCTTCCAACATGACAACGACCCAAAGCACACAGCCAGGATAACCAAGGAGTGGCTCCGTAAGAAGCATATCAAGGTTCTGGAGTGGCCTAGCCAGTCTCCAGACCTAAATCCAATAGAACATCTTTGGAGGGAGCTGAAACTCTGTGTTGCTCAGCAACAGCCCCGAAACCTGACAGATCTAGAGGAGATCTGTGTGGAGGAGTGGGCCAAAATCCCTGTTGCAGTGTGTGCAAACCTGGTCAAGAACTACAGGAAACGTTTGAGCTTTGTAATTGCAAACAAAGGCTTCTGTACCAAATATTAACACTGATTTTCTCAGGTGTTCAAATACTTATGTTCAGCAGTGCAAGACAAATAAATTCTTTAAAAATCATACAATGTGATTTCCTGATTTTTTTTTTTAAATTCTGTCTCTCAGAGTGGGAATGCAATGTGAATTTCAGACCCCTCCATGATTTCTAAGTGGGAGAACTTGCAAAATCGCAGGATGTTCAAATACTTTTGTTCCTCACTGTACCTGGGAGATGACTTCACCCATAGGCTTACTATGGGGCATGCCCCTCCTCTACATTGAAGCCGCCACTGACAGCTAATCATGGAACCAGACAGGAGCAGCTTCAGAATAAGAAAGTGTACAGATCTTTTCTTTACAGGGTTGGATAGACTAGGCTTATAATGGGGGTGGGAGTAGGTTTAGCCTTAGTTAGATGTTGACTGAACTTCCACTTTCTTATTTTTTGTTTTATTTATTTGTGCTACTTTGTTGAAAATAGGCAATATTATTGACAAATGACAGCTACAATTGGAAGCATTAAATTAGTAAGGTACATAATGAATGCTGCAGCTCACACTGCATAGGTTACACCTATCCATAAGTATAAAGAATTATCTACTAGTGGTGCACCGAAATGAAAATTCTGGTACCGAAACTGAAAATTTAGGATGCACTCGGCTGAAAACCAAAACCGAAACCAAAATAGATGGTTTTAAAAATTAATTTATATTTTTTGGAAAAATTTTTTTTTTTTATAATTAAAAAAACACAATATATACCCCAATTTAAAAAAAAAAAAAAAATTAAAGATCATGTTACGGCAAGTAATAGATACCCAACATGTCATACTTTAAAATTGCGCATGCTCCTGGAATGGCGTCAAACTACGGTACTTAAAAATCTCCATGGGTGACGCTTTAAAAATTTCTACAGGTTACCAGTGTAAAGTTACAGAGGAGGTCTAGTGCTAGAATTATTGCTCTTGCTCTGACGGTCGTGGCAATACCTCACATGTGTAGTTTGAACACCATTTACATGTGTGGGCGTGAGCTATGTGTGCGTTCACCACTACATGCAAGCACGGGGGGACTGTGGTACTTTAAATTTTTTTTCTCAATTTATTTATTTTTTTTTTTTTTTTACACTGTCCCTTTAAAAAAAAATGTAATCAGTTTTATTCCTATCACAAGGAATGCATGCATCCCCTGTGATAGAAGTAGTTAGTGACAGGTCTTTATGGAGAGATATGGGGTCAATAAGACCCCACATCTCTTCTCTACAATGTAATGCATTGGATTAAAAAAATCATTGATCTAGTGCTTTATGAAAAAAAAAAAAATGGCCTTGATTACAAGGCGCCAGAACCAGAAGTGACATTGCTCCGGTCCTCCAAGGGCATAGAGATGAGAGGAGGCGATCTTTTCCTTCACTTATCTCTATACCCAGCATCGGGATCGTTTGGTGGTTTCTCAGGTAAGGCTGAGAACCACCAAGCAGCGGCGGGTGGTGGCAGCAGTGGCGGCGAGGGGGCGTAGTTATTTTTTGGCACCATCAGTGCTTATTTTCATGTCAGCTAACGAGCGATTGGGGGTTTTCGACCGAAACGTTTCGGCCACCAAAATTTTGGTGCACCCCTATTTATCTACGCCACTATCCTTGAGCTTACATATTAAATGCAACAACAACTCCAGGTCTATCATTTGTGTACTCTAGTTATCCAAAGTTTTCTACTTGTCAACATAACAGGATAGTTCTGTAATGCTTCTATGCATGTGAAATGCCCTACCATACTTGAGCTGTACCATAGGTTTGTCAGTTTATGTTTCTTCTTCTTAGACTTTGAGCTTCAACTCCTTTCCATCGGGATTGCTTTATTTTGTTGTTGTATATTGTGATTTACACAACATATTATACTAAAATGCTAATATATTCAGTTCTTTTACCTTTATGTTGCCCCCTCCAGGAATATGATGGGCATTATCTAGAGAACCAATCTTTGCCTGGGCCTTCTCCTTGAAGTCTAGTTTAACACTTTCAATCTTCACATTTCCACCACCTGCAAAGAGCACAATCATTAGACTAAGTGATAAGATAAAGACACTTCAAGCCCTTCTATTTACCAGTCCTGAATGTGCAAAGGGGGCTGTATACCAGTAGATTTGAAAACGATTATTTGCATGAATATTTTTTTATGAACGTTTGTACAAAAATTTATTATACATTCCATGACTGGACGAATTTCATTCAAAAGTACTTCAACATTTTGTTTGCTTTAAAAATTCGATTTGGAAATGAATGTACTTTCCAGAACGAAAACTGCATTCACAGTTAGAAATTTGTTCATTTGAAAGCATTTTTTTAAATTCTGCCCCTTCAAATTTTTTATTTACTGTTGTGGAAAATGAACATTGATATGACCACACTAACAATTAGAAAATCAGACAAATGTTCTTAAATACTTTTTTTTAACACAATCTAGTAATGTATAGCCAGTTTAAGACCAAATTCAGACTTATTAAAGTGGTTGCAAAGGCTGAAGGTTTTTTACCTTCATGTATTCTATGCATGAAAGTAAAAAACCTTCTGTGTGCAGCAGCCTCCCTAGCCCCCCTAATACTTACCTGAGCCCCAACTTGATCCAGTGATATGCATACGAGAGCAGGAGCTCTCTGAGGACTCTTCCTCCTCAGTGGCTGAAACAGCAGCAGGAGCCATCAGCTCCCGCTACTGTCAATCACAGCCAGTGAGCCAACGCAGAGAGAGTGGAGGGCAAGACCAAGCCATGCTCTGTGTCTGACTGGACACACAGAGCAGTGGCTCGAGAGCGAGCCTATTTGGGATCTCCTATAGCAAGCTGCTTGCTCTCGAGGCACTAGGCAGGAGGGAGGGACCAGAAGTGCCAGCGTGGGACCTGAGATGAGGAATATTTGGGCTGCTCTGTGCAAAGCCACTGCACAGAGCAGGTAAGTATGACATGTTTGTTTGTTTTTCTTTTTAAATCTGCCTTTAATATCAGCTAAAAGTGCCCACTAACTGAATACGTGAATAGTGATAGGGAGTTACTACCTTGCTATAAGGAGATGTTAAATCTATTAAATGTTCAAATATATTACAATTATATATTAAAATTAAAATAAATGGCCGGTATACTTTTGTGTTCTGTGAACGAATGTAGTAAGATATTCTCAGAATTCCATAACAAGCATAAACAAGTTAAGTCAGAGTAAACTTAAAACTACTAAATACATATTTTGGATCAAGGAAACAGAAAGTCTGGGTTCTTTTGTACTTAGTTGTGAACTAGAGAATGTGCCAGTTTAGCATGCAGAAGTTTATTACTTTGATTAGCTCAGCTTCAAAGTAAATTACAACTCCATTTTGTAGTTTTTAGTACAGTGATGCTTGTTTTTGGAATTAGTTTCCAGGGGGATGTTATTTAAATTTATTATATATGAAACAAACTACAAAAAGTTTTTTCAATTGCTAAGTAGCAGTTGTCAAGATTTCTATCTTAATCCCATTCAGAATATGTCAGTAGGCCCACCAACTGTCTTTTAAACAACATTCCTTCAACACACAGATCAAATGCCAGATGTCAGCTAAGCAATACTGATATTGAGATCTGCCAGTCATCTTATCTTCTGGTAAGAAGTCAATAAGCAATATAAACTGGTCTCCTGTGGTCACTTAAAATACAACTCTATTTTAGTGGTTCATACATGTCATCATTACTCTGTGTCTCACTATAAAACTACATTGCTCCTTTCAATGTGGAAGAAAAATCATGAAAAAAAAACCCACATTGTTTAATCACTCTTGTGTAGCTTGCGTTTTTTGTGATTTTGATGCAAATATTAATTCTAGAAAGGTCAAAATTAAGACTGGCCCTTTATAGACAAATGTTCATGATGTGCAGCACATTGCAGGTCCCAGCACCACCTTACTATTCAAGGGACTAGTTTGTTCAATATTTCCAAAAAATGATTTTCAAGCATGTCTAGAAACTGATGGAAAAGATTTTTAACAGACAAGTCCTCTGCACTTGGAAACACCCACAAGTTGCAATTATTGCTCAAGATGCTCAAAATGTCCCTAATACTGTTTCTTTTTAAAGAACACAGATGATCCAATTACAGAATAACCCCTTGTTCCATTAACAAGCACATTCACTATTTAACAGAAAGTATGAACATTCTGGGTAGTTAGCACTTGTTTTTAATTCTTTAAACCATATTTGCCTTCATTGTGAAACAAGTACTGGCTGAAGCAGAGATCTGGCCAGATGGATACATTTATCTATGTATAACAACTCCAAAATGTAGATTTTATGCACATACTGTTACTTTCTTTAAAACTACATGAATGACTTACAATACTTTAACTTTTCTGGAGTGCTTTGTTTAGCCCCAAGATAAAAAGGTCCTGCCAGCAGAACAAAATTAGTTTTATAAAACTCTTGATCACTGCATTGTAATCTGTCTACTAACACAACTCCCTGAAATCTCAACAAAGACATCTCCCCACCTGACCATGCCGATGAGATGAATCATCATCAGTGAGAGAACTGGGAAGCGAGCATGTTGCCAGTATGATGACTGATTGACAAGCTTTTCACTGACTTTAACTTCTTTCAGTACCTCTAGCTCTAAAACATTTTCAGTTACCAATATTAAAAGGAATTCCTAGAGATATGGTGTTTCACCTTCATGTAATTTTCAAGACAGGAAGCCCAAGGGGTAATTAAAGCCATGGTAGTAAGCATGAATAGTGGGAGGGGAAGGATACTAAGAATGGACAGCTAAGTAAAAATATGCAAGGCTTGGTCAATGAACAAGCCTTGTCAACAAAGCCATGCCAACAGTAAAAAACATTGGACAGATCCCCCATAGGGCCTGTTAGATGTTTTATCATGTGCAATGAATTATGTTAAATATTAGTCAATAATAAAAATTCAAACCCAATATTCTAATCAGTTAGGTGGGGAATTTAAAACTGTGTGAAAACTCCAAGAACTCTGGGTAATATTTGGACAAGGATTTGGTGATCATTATAGTCATAGCTACATAATTGCATGGTTAGCCTGGCTGAAAAAAGAGAAAAGTCCATCTAGTTCAACCATTAAAAAAAAAAAAGTTATAATCCTACACCCACAGTTGATCCAGAGGAAGGAAAAAAAAACCCAGCAAAGCATAATAAAATTTGCTCCTGCAGGGGAAAAAAATCCTTCCTGATCCCCCGAGAGGCAATTGGATATTCCCTGGATCAACTTTACCTATAAATGTTAGTATCCAGTTATATTCTGTGTATCCAAGACAGAATCTAGGCCTTTTTCAAAGCAATCCACTGAGCTGGCCAGAACCAAATCTTGAGGGAGTCTATTCCACATTTTCACAGCTCTCACTGTGAAGAAACCTTTCCTTGTTTGGAGATTAAATTTATCTTCCTCCAGACGTAAAAAGTGCCCAGATGAGGTCTTACTAATGATTTGTAGAGGGGTAAAATGATATCTCTCTCTCTGGAGTCTATACCTCTTTTAATACAAGAGAGGATTTTGCTCGCTTTAGAAACAGCAGCTTGGTATTGCATGCCATTATTAAGCTTGTGATCTACCAGAACACCCAGATCCTTCTCCACCATTGATTCCTCCAGTTGTACCCCCCCCCCAGTATGTATGATGCATTCATATTCTTAGCCCCCAGGTGCAGAACCTTACATTTATCAACATTAAACCTCATTTATATATAAAAAATGTCCAATAAAGTGCAAAACTGCAAGAGGTGCTTCAATATTCCAGGACATGCAGGTATAGGTTTGGGTGTCAGCAGCTTTTTAAGGTGTCACACGTCCATTGGAAGCGCAGGAGGATATTATTTATTATTAAACCTCATTTGTCACATAGTTATCCAATTAAACAGTGTATTGAGGTCAGCTTGTAAGTTGGAGACATCCTGTAAGGACGTTATTTCCACTGCACAGCTTGGTGTCATCTGCAATGACTGAAGTGGTATTTATAATCCCAGACCCTATATCATTTATAAATATATTAAAAAGTAAGGGTCCCAACACTGAACCTTGGGGTACACCACTGACAACCCTAGACCATTCAGAGTATGAATCATTAACCACTACTCTCTGAATGCGATCTTTTGGCCAGTTTTCTATCCATTTACATACAAATTTTTCCAAGCCCGTAGACTTTACCTTACACATTAGCCATGTATGGGGACTGTGACAAACGCTTTTGCAAAATCCAAATATATCACATCCACCGCCACCCCTCTATCCAAGGGTTTGCTCACCTCCTCATAAAAAGAAATCAGATTTGTTTGACAATTTCTGTCTTTCATGAATCCATGCTGTCTGTTGCTTAAAATATTTTTTCCAGCAAGAACTCATCTATGTGGTCTTTTATTAAACTCTCCAGTATCTTCCCAACTATAGAAGTTAAACTAACAGGTCTGTAATTACTTGGTAAAGATTTTGACCCTTTTTTAAATATTGGCACCATATTGGCCTTATGCCAATCCAGTGGTACTATGCCAGTCATTAAAGAGTCCCTACAATTTAAAAACAATGGCTTTGAAATGACAGAGCTCAATTCCAATAGGACCCGTGGCTGTATGGCATCTGGTCCAGGTGCTTTATTCACCTTTATTCTGTCTAAATATTTTTGGATCATATCAATTGTGAGCCAATGTGGATCATCTGGAGCTGTGTCAATACCATGCCTATTATGGACAAGAGCTACCCCATGCTCCTTTGTATACACAGAACTGAAGAAGGTATTTAATAAATTTGCCTTCTCTTTGTTCCCAGTCACCCACTCTAGATTATTTTGTAAAGGGCCTACATGCTCGGACCGGATCTTTTTACTATTTAAATATTTGAAGAATTTTTGGGGTTAGTCCTGCTATCTTTTGCAATCTGTTGTTCGTTTTCAAATTTGTGGCCTTTATTTCCTTTTTGCATATTCTGTTATATTCTTTGTAATGTTTAAATGATGATAGCGTTTCTTCATTTTTATATTTAATAAAAGCTCTTTTATAGCTTTTTTAACTTTGGCCGTAAGCCACATAGGTTTGATTTTTAGCCTTTTAAACTTGTTGCCAATGGGAATATATTTTGCGTTGTGTTCACATACAGTCTTTTTGAAGAACTCCCATTTCTGTGTTGTGTTCATTGATGCCAATATTCCCTCCCAGTCTAAGTCTTGGAGAGCAGCGCTCAGCCTTGGAAAATTAGCTCTCTTGAAACTGAGTGTTTTTTATTTTTCCTGTATGTGCTTGCTGTTTACAGCTAACAATAAATGAAATAATATTATGGTCACTGCTACCCAGATGTTCTTTTAAATGGACATTCGTAATAAGCTCTGCATGGTTTTAGATTACCAGGTCCAGCAGAGCATCATTCCTAGTTGGGGACTCTATGAACTGTACCATAAAATTACCCTGTAGTAGGTTTAAAAATGTTTGTGCTTTACCTGTTCCTGCAGTACCATTACTCCAGTCAATTTCCGGATAGTTAAAATACCCCATTATTATCACTGTCTCAGCCCTTGCAGCCCTTTTGATCTGTGCAAGGAGCTCTTCACTTCCTCATTAACACTGGGAGGCCTATAACAAACTCCAACGATTACCTTTGTACTACACACCCCCATGTGCAGTTCCACCCATAATGCTTCAGCCTCATCACACTCTCCATCAACTAGGTCCTCTTTCACACTCACTCTGAGATCACTTCTCACATAGAGACAGACACCACCACCTTTCCTATTTACCCTGTCTCTCCGAAAAAGAACATAGTCAAAGCAATATGAAAAAAATCATTATTTATTTTACACACTTGGAGGTTTAGTTAGCATGTCAATAGTAATATTGGGAAATCTAGATTTTGTTTACCTGGCCTGTGGCGTATGTTCTTTAGAGATCCACATTTTGATGTGATATGGCTAAGGTTAATCTTCTTACTTACAATCTGGATCTGTTAAAAAAGCAAGAGGGAGAAATAATAACATATAGAGAATACACAAACCCTTCACCAACAAAGTTGTTGAGGAAGCTGAAAAAGAGCATTTCCAAAAGATGTTTCATGCTTCAGAGGCAGTGAGGATAGACAGGTCAGTTGTGCAGCAAGCATCTACTGCAGGTAACACTTGCTACTATATTCAGAAGACATTAGTAATTCACCAAGGAGTGGTTAAGTACAAGCAGCCAATATGGATGGTCACAGCTGGACTCTAGTTTTATGCTCAATGGCATTTATTGTTATGTATTAATTTTATTTTTAATATTTAGTTTTACTTGCAATCAAGCCAATAAAGGAGTTTTTTGCTGCTACAACATTCTTTGCAGACACAGTTTGGTTGCTTTAATGTAACCATTAAAAAAAACTGCATTACAGGTATTTTAATATCTTTGCCTATTACTTGATATCATTGCCATGCTGCCTGAAATGTCCTGAATGTGCCAAATACTACCTAAAGCTGGCCAACACAGAGATGAATGTTGAAAAGAAGGGCCTAAGCCGAGGTTGCAAGAAGGCCTCTATAGTAATGAACCTGCAAAGTAGTGTCCATTACACAAACTAATCACTATAACAGCTATCCTGGTAGTGTTGGATTGAACTTAACCTCTTCGTATGCAAATATGCAGCCTCTCAGCGGCTGGGCCTTGACGCCAAGTGGCCGCATATTTGCGTACCATTTGTAAACAAACATGTGCTGAGAGCGCGCGCCCTGTGCGCTCCCAACACATTTCTGCATCCCACGGAAAGGTACCAAGCTCTCCTTGTGATCGGGACCTTTCCGATCATGTGACTACCATGACAGCCAATTACGGCGGTAAAATGACTCTAAACCCCACTGTGCCTCCCGGCGTCAGAAACCCCTTAAAGGGCCAGGAGGCACCTGCGTGAACTGGTTAATGACACATTATACACACAATAATGTAAAACTGTAATACAAATTTTGAATATTCATTTAGAAATACTGTAACAAGAAATAATTGTGTTTTTTTCTCAGAGGGTCAGTATGTGCAAAGTTGTGTTCCGTTGTTTTGTGTTTGCTACCAGGCTGAACATTACACTACCTTTATTATCTGTTGGAGTTTCCTGAAATGTACAATATCTACTAATTTTATTTGCTTACCACAGCCATTAAAAGCCTCACTCTTGACTGCTTAAATCTCTATTTGTTTTACATTACAGAGAATGCCGCAAGAGAAAAGGCTTTTGCTTGGCCAAGTAGAGGCCATGACAAGAGCAAGAATTGGGATCTTTGGCTCTGGAGGCTCATGGAGACATAGGACCAATACTGGATCTCATTTGTTTTATATTACTAAACTATGTGGCACCAGATTAGCTGCTCGAGTGAACAAAGCTCTGGGAATTTGTTACAGAAGTGAACATTCAGTAGACAGACACACAGAACAGACCAAGTGCTGACAGGTTAGGTGAGGCACAGAAAAGGGTAGAACCTTTGAGGATTTTGCAAGGAGCACCAAGGAAGTGGCGGAGGAGATCCCGTCATAAAATGTGCCCTTACTTACTTGACCTCCCCCAGCACTATGACTGATGTTATCCTTGGAGCCACAACGAGATTGAACTTCACTATAATCAGTCTTCTCACTTAAGATCTTAACCTAAAAGGAACAGGAGGCAGAGTAAGTGTGCCCAAGTGATATAAAAAAAGCACTGAAAACCAGTGTAGATTTTGATTTAGTTTTAGTCATCGTCTTTTGACTAAAACTTTAGTTTCAGTCGTATGTTAGTCATCTGAATTGTTTTAGTTTTAGTTGAATTTTAGTCACCTAAAATCTCCAGTACATTTTAGTCGACTAAAGTCTCCTACTCTTTAACTGACTAAAATCATTTTAGTCAACTACAATCTAATGGGTTTAGTTAAATAGTAATGCGTAAGTTAAGCATTTTTGTAGAATTTACAAACGCATTATTTACTCCTGAAGTGAAAAATCTAATACATGTTATCATTTAAGGTATTAAGGTTTGGGCATGCACTACAAAGACAGGTTTAGCAGTTTTGATAATATATAACCAGTGTTAATTTTTACGTAAAATTTCGATTTAGTTCTAGTCTTAGTATTTTGACTAAAATGCGATTTTAGTTTTAGTCGTATTTTAGTCCTCTTTATTGTTTTAGTTTTAGTTGTATTTTAGTCGAATAAATTGTGTTAATTCATCAACAAAATTATTTTTGTTGATGAAATTAAAGTGATTTCAAAAGGCTTATTTTTTTTTTTTTTTTCTAAATAACACGTCTATACTTACCTGCTGTGTGCAGTAGTTTTGCACAGAGCAGCCCTGATCCTCCTCTTCTCGGGTCCCCCACTGGCGCTCCTGGCCCCTCCCTCATGTCAGGTGCCCCCACAGCAAGCAGCTTACTATGGGAGCACCCACTGCTCTGTGTGTCCATTCACACATGGAGCCGTAGCTCAGCCCTGCCCCCTCTCTCTTCTTATTGGCTCACTGGCTGTGACTGACAGCAGTGGGAGCCAATGGCTCCCTCTTTTGTCTCAACCAATGAAGAGAGGGAGTCCTAGGATAGCCAAAACTCCAGTGCACACCGCTGGATCAAAAGGGGGCCTAGGTGAGTATTAGGGGGGCTGATGCACAGAGAAGGTGTTTTTATCTTCATGCATAGAATGCATGAAGGTAAAAAACCTTGAGCCTTTAGAACCACTTTACCACTGCTGAAAACGTTGTCACTACTGTACCTTAGAGCTTTCTGATTTAGAAGGAGAGATCCACTGTTTTTGTATTGCGGTTCAGTGCAAAAAATAACACAAAATGTTACACCTTGATGACTGCAAAAGCATAATGATTATGCATCATTTATGAATTTTGATGAAAAACATCCTTTTCCATGAGAATAAACAAAACTGCATGTACGGCACTAAGTACATTTAAATAATTATCATACACTACTCTAGCATTGTCCAATGCCAATCTAGACAACCTCTTACCAGTAGCCATGCTGCATATGCTAACTGTTAAAAAACTAGGAAGATTTTCAATCCAGTAATTTGGTTATTGATTGGATTTGGACTATACTATATTACTAAGTATATTTTCTTGGTTTACTAAATGTATTCATTGATAGTGGGAAGTAAGAAGTGAGGTTTACTGATTGTAGGAAATAGCTTATTGTTGGTTCCTGTTGAAAAAGCAAAAATTATTTTATATGCTGATAGTAATTTAACATGTTCCACTATAAAAACGTAGATGTAAACTCTAACCAAATTATTTTAGTTTGCTAAAGTTTGTGTTTCATAACCGATTGCCATTTTTGTAAATAAATGCCATTTTCATCTTTTTTCATTCTTTGTTGCATAACAGCACTGCATTTCATCTGCAGCCTCTTTCTGTTTACAAGCATGCACTCAGGCAACTGTTCATTTCACAGATAATGACAAAATTGGGCCATGTGTGTGCAATGTGTTTCTTTATTTGGTCTCCAAAAACAGTGTGTATGACAGGTTGCCAATGCAAGAGAAGAGCTGAGAGACAGGAATAGAGCATGGTCACTCTATACCAGGAACTACAGGCACAAGGACCTTCATGGCAGCATCACTAGGTATTATCTTAAAGCGGTAGTAAACATCCCAAAGAAAAAAAAATTCCCCTGCAAAAAAAAGTCATAATGTGCTAGTATGCATTGCATTCTAGCACATTATGAAAGACTTACCTTAAATCAAAGCCCTGAGCATGTGCACGGAAGTCTCGGCCACAGCACAGAACTCTAAAGGAATGGCAAGGAGTGCATGCACCGGTGACGTCATCGGCTGCAGGAACACTGAATTTAAGAGATATTCCTTGTACCTACAGATAAGCTTTATTATAAGCTTACCTGTAGTTACAAGTGTCCAGTGGGAGTTTACTTCTACTTTAACCACTTGCCTACCAGGCACTTTTACCCCTTCCTGCCCAGACCAATTTTCAGTTTTCAGTGCTCTCATACTTTGAATGACAATTGTGCAGTCATGCAACACCGTACCCAAACTACATTTTTATCATTTTTTTTAAACAAATAGAGCTTTCTTTTGATGGTATTTAATCACCACTGGGTTTTTTTATTTTTTTGCTAAACAAAAAAAGACCAAAAATATTGGGGAAAAAAAGTAATTTTTCTCCTTTACTGATGGGCACTGATAGGCTGCACTGATGGGCACTGATGAGGAGTCACTGATGGGCACTGTTAGGCGGCACTGATGGGCATTGATAGGTGGCACTGATGGGCACTGTTACGTGGCACTGTTGGGCACTGATTTAACTGATGGGCACTGATGATCACTTATTCTATTGATGGGCACTGATTCAATTGATGGGCACTGATTGCCAGCACACATGGGCACTGATGGGCACTATTGGCCGCACTGATGGGGCTACACTGATCACCAGGACACTGATGATTAGTGCCCTAATGATCACTGTAGATGTCCCCCTGTGAGATGCTGCTTACTGGCTCTCCTCTCCCCATGCGCTGTCAGCGAGAGGAGAGGACTGCCAATAACCGGCATTTCCTATTTACCCTGTGATCAGCTGTGATTGGACACAGCTGGTCACATGGTAAAAGCAGCTGTGATGGGCCCGTTCCTTAGTCATGTGATCAGCTATGTCTGAAGAACACAGCAGTCACAGATTGCGTGCAGTGTGGGGTGTGGTTCTGGGAGGACATCCATGAATGCCCTCCCAGAACTAGCCAACCGCGCTGTAGCCGTCTTTTGGCTAAAGCACAGTCTGGATCTGGTTCATGAAAGCTGCAGATTTAGCAATATTATAATTTATTCTTAAATTGCAATTAATATTTTAAAGATTATATAACATGTTAATGATTGTGTTTACATATACTTTTATAATGATATCACAGTCTTTTGGTCTACAAAATGGAAGCTTTTACCTGTCCCCCTTTAGGCTGATACTTAATGTTGTCTATGGATCCAATCTTAGACTTGATGTTCTTCAGGTCAGGTAGTGGCTGATTCATTAAACGCATTTGTTTTAATGTAGCTGGGGATTTGGGAGGTGTACGAAGAATAGCCACTTTCTTATCTGTATGCACAAACATGGCAGATTTCGGAGTTCCTGGAGTGCGTGGTGTGCGTGAGTAACTTGGTGTTCCTGGTGTGCCTGGAGTTCTTGAAGCATAGCTTGGTGGTGTTCCTGGAGTAATAGCTGTAGATCCAGGTGTGGTTGGGGTAGATGTTCCACTCTTTCCTGTTCGACTCCAAATTGGCTCAGATCCTGAATACAGATTGGAAACAGTTTAGGCAATAATTCTACTTTTCTTTAAATTCCTATCAATAACCAAACATTAATAAGACTTATGAAGTTCTTCCCAAATAGTAATGAACAATTATACATCCTTATTACAGGAGCTGTTAAGAAAAGTACTAGAAAGGAATACTTTTATTAAAAACTATTTTGTTATTGGGTAGAGGATGGTTACTGAACCTGGTATGTAAAGTTGGTGGTGAAAATCTACCATAAAACAGCACTGTCAGCACCTGTGGTATTGTGCCCTTGTAGATAGTCAACTTGGGGTTCCCCAGGGCGCAGAGTCTAAGCCCCAGCCTGCTTCTTCACCAGAGCCCCTGATGGTGGGCATGGACTTGCAGCAAGCTGGGACCAGGTCACGGCCCCCGGGTATGCCCAGCTGAGGATGAGGAGACTGCTCATGGGAGCAGAGTACAATGGGAGGAGACAAACGGAAATCCAATAGACTATACGAGGTCAGGACAGGCAGAAAACAAGCACAGTCAGAGAACGAAGCTGGGGTCGGTACACAATTAGTCAATGCAGGATACAGGCAATAGCAACACACAGGAGTTTGGACAACTAGGCCATTGCTCAGGCAAAGTGGCCTAGACTGAGCATGTCTTATATAGGTTGGCAAACAAGATGGCAGGCCAGGAAGTGATGGAAGGGAAGGAAATAAAACCCAAGAAAAGCAGACGACGCCCATAGGTGAGCACAGGCAAACACACGTGAAAGGGATCAGGAACAGCACTGCAGCAAGGAGGTAAGAACACAAACAAGAAACTGCAGGCTAACTTGTGACACTCCCATAGCATAAAGACCTATCATTTTAATGCAGTTCTGACAACTATCTCCCATTGCACTAATACCTATATTTTGAATACAGACAAAAATCAGACGCACTCCCCAAGTGCATCACAAAACATAAAGCAGGCCTTGCATAAACAGGAACCATAAAAAGCTAAATACATTTATAACAGGGTGCTTGCCTAAGTACATTGTTAAAGAGGGGCTAGACTTTCCTAGCTTCCAACATACTTTTCTAACAGAGAAACAAATTGTGTTTAATTATCTTACTTTCCTTGCAAGTTGGTTCTTTGTTGCTAAGGGAACAGCTGGTTTTCTTTATGGCTCTCTTTCTTATATCCTCCTTCACTAATTTATTCTTCCCCAGATTCCTTTTTACTTTTTCTTACAACTCTCCTCATCTTTTCCATAAACAGAACTCTCTTATTCCCAATTCCCTTCTGCAGTGCTATTTCAGCTTATTGGCAACTCTGCTTTCCTGTTCTATAAGCCCCAATATCAGTATAGATGGCTCAGCAATACGAGGTGGTATAAAAAATTTTCAAGACTAGTTTTGTAACACACCAACAAATGGCAGCACAAGGCTTCAAGAACAGCCACAGGGAGCACCGACCTTCATAAGTCAGTGTGCCAAAAGACATCATCCTGTGTACATCGGAAGCTGTGCAACTGGTGCTGCTATTCTGACCATGTGTGTTACCACAACTGCTATTTTCATCATGGACAGCAAGTTAAAATAAAGAGCAAATGTGAAATTCTGCGTGAAACTGGGCAAATCACTGATATCTGCAATGTTGTCAAAACAGCGACCTATGAGCTGGATCTTCATCTTCAGGAAGAGGGCATTTTCAGGGGTTGAGATTGTTGAAGGTCTTCTTAATCTCTCGTCAAGCATTCGTGCCACTCAAAAGACCTCAAACGACTCATTGCAGCATCACCATAAACTTGCCAAATCATATCAAACATCTCTGTGGCAGATTTGCCAAGTTTCACGTAGATTTTCACATTTTAACTTGCTGTCCATGATGAAATAGCAGACGTGCTAACGCCCTTGGTCAGATTATCACCAGTTGCACAGCTCCCGATGTACACTGGATGATGTCTTTTGGCACATTGACTTAAGAAGGTTAGTGCTCCTTGTGACTGTGTGTGCCACCTTGTGCTGCCATCTGTTGGCATGTTACAAAACTAGCCTCAAAACTTTTTGATACCACCTCGTAGTATCTTGCACAAGCATCAGACTTTTTCCCTGAGGTCTAAAGGCACAGGTCTACCTTGAATAATGGATTAATCACCTAACACAGGAGTAGGTAGCCTGCAGCTCTCTAGCTGTTGTGGAACTACATTGCAGCATTACAAAACTGACAGTTACAGCTATGACATGCAGAGGCATGATGGAACTTGTAGTCCTGCAACAGTTGGAGAGCCGCAGGTTGCCTACCCCTGACCTAACACATAACATCATAAAACATGTGGAGGGACACAGCAATTTTTCATTACTCTAGAGAAGATACACTTTAATTGTACAGAAAACTTTATTAGTATCAAGCAATGCATACAACCTATTTCATCATAACAATATTTTTGATAATTAAAGAAAGTATCAGATTGCTTAAACACAAAACCAAAAATGTAACATATTGCAGCTGAACAATCATTAGATGTGGTGGCTGTATTAGTTTTATTTTTTTATGCTTTTTTCTTTCTGTTTATCTCTGGTGATCTGGCCAGTAACATACAGTTGTGTTCAAAATAATAGCAGTCAGATATCACTAACCTGATCAATCACTGTTTTTGGTAGAAATGATATTTCTACATGGCAAATAATTTATTAGCAGGTGTAGCAGAGTAATAGAAATCCAACAGACCCAACAGTCATGACATGCATGCTGCTGATTCTGTGTAATTGAATCACTAATTGAAAGGGGCATGTTCAAAATAATAGTAGTGTGGAGTTCTATTAGTGAGGTCATTCATTCTTTGAAAAACAGGTGGCAATTATTGCCCTTATTTAAGGAAGGAAGGCAGCAAATGTTGTACATGCTGGTTACAATGCATTTCTCTCTGAAATTCTGTGAAAAATTGGAGAGGGGAAAACATATAAAGAAGTGCAGAAAATGAGAGGCTGCTCAGCTAAAATGATCGCAAATGCTTTAAAATGGCAACCAAAACCTGAAAGACGTGGAAGAAAGCGAAAAACTACCATTCGAATGGATAGAAGAATAGCCAAAATGGCAAGGACTCAGCCAACAATCAGCTTCAGGAAGATCAAAGAAGGTCTGAAGTTACCTGTGAGCACTGTTACAATTAGAAGACACCTATGTGAAGCCAAGCTATCTGCAAGAAGCCCCCGCAAAGTCCCACTGTTGAAAAAAAGACATGTGCTGAAGAGGTTACAATTTGCCAAAAAACACATTGACTGGCCTAAAGAGAAATGGGGCAACATTTTGTGGACTGATGAAAGTAAGATTGTTCTTTTTGGGTCTAGTGGCCGGAGACAGTTTGTCAGATGACCCCCAAACACTGAATTCAAGTCACAGTACACTGTGAAGACAGTGAAGCATGGCTGCGCAAGCATCATGATATGGGGATGTTTCTCATACTACGGTGTTGGGCCTATTTATCGCATACCAGGGATCATGGATCAGTTTGAATACATCAGAATACTTGAAGAGGTCATGCTGCCTTATGCTGAAGAGGAAATGCCCTTGAAATGGGTGTTCCAACAAGACAACGACCCGAAACACACCAGTAAATGTGCAACATCTTGGTTCCAGACCAACAAGATTGACGTTATGGAGTGGCCAGCCCAGTCCCCGGATCTTAATCCAATAGAAAACTTGTGAGGTGACATCAAAAATGCAGTTTCTGAGGCAAAACCAAGAAATAAAGAAGAACTGTGGAATGTAGTCCAATCATTCTGGGCTGGAATACCTGTTCACAGGTGCCAGAAGTTGGTTGACTCCATGCAACACAGATGTACAGCAGTTCTCAGAAACAGTGCTTATACAACTAAATATTCATTAAGTGATTCAAAGGAAAGCAAAATCTTCAAACATTTTTCAGTTTATATAGTGAATGTTTGAGTTTGTAAAGAAGAATACAAACACTGCTATTTTTTGAACAGTCTAATATTCACTTTTCTTCAATTTTTTTATAGGAACAACACAAATTTGATATATTTTTCTTCATGTTTTGATTTGGAATAGAATGTGTAGTGTTCCCAATGCATTTGTGTGTATGGAAATAAAAGCTATTAGAAGGATTTTGAGCTTTATTCACTTTTTTCAACACACTGCTATTATTTTGAACACAACTGTATATGGAAACAAATACCTGAGAGCGGTCCCAACCCTTCCCCACTCTATCTGAGATTAAAAGTAAAGAATGATGAACATACTGGTAGTGCGTCTCACTGAGGAAGACACAGAAGTGCTGGTGGATATAGAGTTCTCTTCCTTATCTATAGGAATGATCTTCCTGGTAGGATGAATGGAGGAAGGTCTAGGCAAGGATGAGCGTTTTTCCGGACTTTTAGTCAACCCATCCTAAACAAAATACCAAAGGCAAAGTAATTACCACACTGTAAAATCACTTTTCCAACAATCTTGGAATAACAATACATTTATTCCTAGTAAACTAGGGCACAGTTCACACCACAGCAAGTGCTTGAGCCACTGTAAATGTATTTCCCTTAGCACCTTTAGGCTCCATGCACACTAGCTTAAAAAAATGCTCCTAGCAGCAGCATTTAGTTTTGTTCTGCCTCTAGAAACAAACAATTTTATCTTATGTGTCCATGCACACTTTGTAGTCAAGAGGCGGTTCGTAAGCTCAGCGTTTAGAAGGAGAAAAAAAAAACCTCTCTGGTTTGTGTTTTTGAGAGCGATTTTCTGGCAGAAAAAAAAACTGAACACTCATAAACACTAAGCAGAGGGTTGTTACGGAGTGGGCAGCCGCCCCCTTGTGATCATGCTGCCACAAGGAGGTGGAGTCACCCAGTGATGTCACTGCATGGCCCCACCTCCATAGTTTATTTAGTGGCAGCTAGGAAGAGGAGCCAGCGTTGTGTGTGGACTTCTTTTTTTTTAATGTGGGTCAGCTGAGTTCATCATGCTCAACGATGGATCTACACCAGAGGACAATTTTTTAAAATGATTTTAATGTTTTTTTAATAAAAGACTGGCTCCTGTCTTTATTTACACTAATCTTTTTTTGTGAATGAGTAGGGGTATTATGTACCCCATATTCATTCACATGGTGGGGGCCGGAATCTGTTTTTTTTTTTACAATGATGGCATTCTTTAGTTTACATTTAACACTTGGCTTTAAAAAAACTACTGAAAAACACTGGATAAAAAAACTCTGATATTAGTGCTTTTTGCCAGTGTTTTTATGTTTTTGTGATGACATTTTGCCAGCATTTAGCAGTGAACAGTGGGTTGCGAAGGAGTGGGCAGTCGCCCACATCCTTAGAAACTGATGATTCATCAGCTGTCAGCAGGATGCCCCGCTGACAGCTGATGAGTCTTTGGTTGTTAAGGACACAGGCAGCCACAAGCTCCTTAACAACCTGCTGTTCACTGCTAAACACTGGCAAAATGCCGGTGCAAAAACTGTAAAACGCAGACAAAAATGCTAATATCAGCGTTTTTATCCAGCATTTTTCCATCGTTTTTTTAAAGCTCCTAGTGTGCATGAAGCCTTAATCTGTTATTTGTATGTTTCTAAATTTAAAATAAAACAAGGAATAAAATAAATACTTCCAAAGATTATGCACCTTATAAAAAAGACAGTAATACCACATGAACATGCAAATGGGAAAAATAGTATGACAAAGTTTATATCTTGGTGTTTTTATGTTCTGCCCATATTTGGATGGGTTTGTAAGGTTTTCGCTTATTTACATTCACAATTGAAAGATGTACAGACATGGGATTGTACATTTTGACGTGACTGCTGTAGAAACTAATCCTTTTACCATGTCTCTGTATCAGGGGTGGACTGACAACTCATGGGGCCCCTGGGCAATAGGGGATCATGGGGCCCCTGTGTCCTCACCCACACCCAAAAAAGCCTATGAAAAAGGTACCAGGGGCATCTCATGGGGCCCCCTACTGACCCAGGGCCCTCGGGCAGTGCCCGAGTTCCCAAATGGTCAGTCCGTCCCTGCTCTGTATTACAAAATAATAGTCATATCACAGGATGGTATTAGATACTACAAGGTGCCTGCTCTCAGTTTGTTTGTTGTCGTCCCTCCCCACCTGATCTGCTGCTTCAGTCCTATAAAGTGCTGTGCATGCTTCAACATTTTGAAAGAGCAGCACAGGGTTAGGCGGAGCTTGTGGGATTACATGTCTATCTATGCCTGGAAGGGCAGAAAACTGTACAGGGGAAGGGTATTTAGAATCAGAAGACTCTTTATAGTTCAGAAAACATGGACCTGTCTCTCTTTTCTCCTGTATAATGACCTGTGCAAATAAAACGTAGTCCTGTATATAAAGTAGACCACATGTTGCCTCTTGATAGTCCAGCTTTAGTTTTCTCAAAAAAAGCACAAGCCGCAAGCAGAGGAACCTTAATCCTTCAGGTGTGTCTGGGCCCGCACAATGTCCAAGTTTTGACTTGATGTATGGCTCTAGATGTTCCTGTAACTAGGCTGTTATCAACATATACCATCAAGTTGACGTTACTGAGAGACCCTATCACTGTTATCCTGCCACTGAGTATTGCCAAACAGACATTATACCTTATTGTGATGCTATGGGTCAGAGAATGATAGGGTGCCCACTTTCATGTTTTTTTTTTTCTGTTCCAATAACAAAAATTACTAGGAAATTTCCCCAGTGGGGTCACAGTTACTTATAACACCTGACGGTAGTCATCTAGCACCTAGCAATCTATTCTGGGGTAACAGAATCCAAGCCAGGTTACCCTGATTTACATGCTTAATGCCTTTTCCTATTAAATTTTGCATCTCTCTGTACCGCATTCTTCCAAAAAGAAGGTATCAGATTGGTTACTCACAGTGATCCTGTCCTTGGTTTGCCGAAGGGCACTTGGCGTTTGCTGAGAATCTCCCCCTGTTGGCATAGCACAGGAAAAACAACTTAATGGTTACAAGCATTCATTTCAATAGGATGGAACCACCAGACAGGAGGTCCTGGTAGACCAGCTTCTTTTCACATCATAATTATCATTACTCTACCTTCTTCTAAGTGTATTAGTGGGTTCTGATGCTTTAACGATTATGATTTTGCGGCTTAACTTTAGAGCACTGTTATCACTAGCTGAATGATACTGGCTAACTTATTTTTTAGGACAGGATTAAAGGACAAACATTAATGAAACCTGCTCTAATGAAAAGGTGAACAAGAAAATAAACATACATCATCATGTCAATTTGATACAAACTTTAAGCCATACATAATAGCAAGCTTTACATGACACACAAGACACACGTACACATTTCTAATGGCATAGGCACACTTGTTCCGCAGCAAGAATCAAATTCTAAGAATTACTCCCACCTTTGAGGTGATTTCCTACACTACTTTCTAAAAAAAAAACTAACTAGTGATAGTTACCACTTTATTACTGGAAATGTGTGAGGTGATTGTAGCCGTATTAGTGCACTTGCAACAGAACCATTACTGTACTGTCTGTGTTACTTTTTGTATTTGCACTAACATATTTTTCAGGACAAGCTTTTGGCCCCCCTATTAAAACTCTGCTAAAATTTTGTGCATTAGTACTGCTTGGACCTTGGCACACCCTGAAAGCTTGCCCGGAAAAACTGCATGTTAGTGCAAATAAAAATGTATCATGCACAGTTCTCAATTGTTACTGGAAAAATGTATTCTCACCATTAATGTATCTGTATTTTCTGTGATGTGTCAGAGATTGAAGAAAAATGTCTGCTTACCTAAAGCTAGATTGTACTCTAAAGCCAACCTTAGATGGTTTGAATCTTGGCTGGTTCAGTGGGCTCCAGCCTAGATGCGCACCATCTATGGGCAGGCTGATTGTTGTACGACTTTGGTGCAATCAGCCTGTCGGATTTTTCATGTGATTATTGCCAGCGCCTATAGCCGCTAGCAATAATAATTTTAGTTCTCCAGGCAGGGACCCGTGGTTACAGGAATGAAAATCACATAGTCTATGGCCTACCTATGGCAGTTAAACTGCTATTATAGTCATAATGCTATTAGCATCTGCAGCTAGCTTAACCTACGAGCATCAGATAAAGTTTGTGCATATCTGTCAGTAAACACAGAGCAAATAAATTGGGCCTGATATCTAGGGTCTCTGTGTCAAACAGGTAAAATGGGAAATCTACCCAATGGGCATGAAAACAGCAATAAAAACACGGGGGAAAAGTTTTATCCTTATGTCTCCTGACTTAAAACATTCTTAAAAGTTTTTTTTGTTGATTGGACCTTGTTTAATAGATATTTTCTTATTTCCTTAATGACCATCATCAAGTGAGACAAAAATCGGCAAAAAAACGAGGTTACCAGTGAAGAAAACATGATGAACAAGAAAACTCTCAGGGCTTAATGAATGGCTAATGGTTTGAAAGATGTTGGTAAGTGTAAAGGTGTGAGGCTGATGGTATGGAAGGAGAATAAAGTATTTCCAATCCACTAACAAACTGGAACGTGATAGAAAACACAGCAGAGCGCCCTCTTAATCCAGATAATGACCATGGTAATGTGTATATTATAAAGCAAACATAGCAATGTGAGCTTATAAGCACCAGTAGGTAAAGTGGCAATCAGGCATGAGAAGAGATGCTGATGGAGAGATGGCCAAATCCTTTGTTGGTAGAACAATAGAACCAACACATTTTGCAGGCTTAAGGACTATGCCTTCTGTATAGTATGTACAGTACATACTGTAGCCAAGGAATTTGTTGTTATCTAAGTCTAAGGTTGCTGCATTAGTATGTTGTTTTCAGGCAAAAGGCAAAAGCCCCACGCTGGTAGTTTTCAGTGCAGGGTCCCTAGTGCAGAAAAGGAAATATATTCCAGAGGTAACCCCAACTATTGCAACCTTAAAGTGTTACTAAACCCAGGACCCTGCATTCACTATATCTGGTCTCCCACAGTACACAGAACACAGAAGTGCAATTATTTTGGTAAATATAAACTGCTAAATACCTTTTCTCATCAGCAGTTATAGCAGTATTGTGACTTCTATCAGTGTCCAGCCGAGCACTGGTTAAAGCTTTTAGGAGGAGTTTTATTTTGCTCTAAGAGGATGCAGAACCCCTGACCTGTCTGGACAGTGCTGATTGGCCCTGTGCTGATCACATGCACTCTCCCAAGAAAAAAAAAAACCCTCTGTAGCAATACACACCAAACTGAGCATGTGCAGAGTGACTTCATACGATATGTATTATCATGAGACACTGGAAGAAGGGGAGGACCAGAAAAGTCCAGATCAAACAGCATTTGTACACAATGCAGAGGATTAACCCCTTAGATTCCACAGTGAATATAACAAGCATGGTTTACTGCATATACAGACTGAGTTTACTGTTGTGGGTTTAGTAACACTTTAACCATTAATCTAACAATAGCCCTCCACTAGGATTAGTTCAGCCTGTCATTGCAGATATTTATTTTCTGTGCCAGGATTCTTGCCTTTGTGCTAGGATGACTGCACTTCTACATGTACACAGGAGTGACATTACTCCATGCTGGCCAATGAAGACAGCTACAGTCTGGCACCTGGAAGAAGCCAGGTAGAAGATGCCAGTGCTAGCGAGGGACATGGGACCACTGAAGCAAAGGTAATTATCGCAAAGTTTATCTCCACTTTAATGGGCTGGTGTCAGTCTGGAGTAGTGAGAAATCTTAGGCAGGCTGTATTTGAATGTAGACTGCCCTAAGTAATGTTGAATCTCCATAAGTGCAATAACTGAATCCAAGAAATGAAAGGGCTGGGCCAGTTACAGCAATGCTGGTGGGCAAAGTCCTCAATGATGCTGGACATCTTCCAGCCAGGAAATGAAGCAGGCTCTATCTGCAGCTTCTAATATGCACATGTTGAAAAGGTCACAGTGTGCATAATTATGATAAAAGTATAACATGATTTAAAAACCCATGAACATAAATGTTTTCGATGAAAAGGAATGATCGCACCTGGTAGAAAATCCACTTCAAATCCATGTTCTTTGTTTATACAATATTCATTTTTGAGCAACAGATAATTTTAAACAAATAATGATTAAATTATTGTTATGTGTTTGGCCAGTGTTGGACAGAGTATTACAAGCATGGTCAGTCAAGATGGATTTGTGCATTGCCCATGTGTGGTCAGTCAAGATAGATTTGTGCTTTGCCCATGTGTGGTCAGTTAAGATGGATTTGTGATTTGTCCATGTGTGGTCAGCCAAGATGGATTTGTGCTTTGCCCATGTGTAGTAAGTCAAGATGAATTTGTGCTTTACCCATGTTTGCCAGCAGATGCAAAGTGGAGAAGCCATGTATATGCTCGAAGTTACTTTGGTCAGAGCTTAACCAAGGCTCTCCTTCTACTCCATGTGAGACTGCTGGTGTCTGGTGATTGGTCACTCAGGCAACCAGTGCTGCACCATGGGAGTAAGGGGAATAAGTCACAAACTCTTCAATCACAGATGTACTAAGTATTTCTCCATGTTTCAGCACTATAAAGGGTATGCCATTACAAACAGCACAGAAAGTTTTATTATGCTGAATCTGATCCTTACACACACCGCACTTGCTGTGCCTAGAAACCTCAAGAATCTATGTTAAGGGTATAATGTTGAGGATACAATGCCCAGAATTTGGTGGAACTACAGAAAACTGACTAGATTCTGCTCTAGACTTAGACTCAAACAAAATCTCTAAACTGAGAAAAATATTGAAGTTGCCATTTATGACTGGCTTCTGAAATTGCCTGTCTCTCTCTTTAGTACTTTGAAAAACTGGCTAGTAGATCAGGAAACTTAGTGTGAAGTCACATATCTTAATCTGCAAATTTGTGTTAGTCATTGACTTAGAAAGTACCAAAGCATAGAGAATAGCTTGAAAACCAACGCACTAGGAAATTCACAAGATCATCAATGGCAGCTTCCATACATCCTCACTAGTGCTTTTCTTAAACAAAGCACAGTATACACTGACTTTTCCCTCCTCAAAGCTAACCAAAATAAAGCATATGCTGTTTAAAATCAACATTATGCTTCTTAGTGGTAATCAGCTCGCTTCCTGATAGATTAAAAAGAGAAGAAATTGCATTCCCAATGATTTGAAAGCCTTGTTAATAACTGTCCATCCAGACTTAATATCACAAAGCCTGACATGTTTTCCATTTCTCCCACTTACAGACACAATCTATGTCAAGATTCCACATTCCTTCTTTTAATTAACTATATTTTTATTCAATGTGTTTTTCTTCTCCCCATTTACCTTGTTATTTTATTCCATCCATAACCTATATCCTACTTTTGCCTTCCTCCACCATCCTCTTCATATATATGGACTTATACCATATGGAAAGTAAAAAAAAAACAGACAAAGCACTGATGTAGCTACTAAAACAGCAAAAAGGCTTTGAAGGCAAAAAGGCTAGCTCACTAATATTAGTGGCGTATGACCAAATATGATTAAGATGTAGCTACCCAAAATGCTAAATTTGTCCAAGCAAATCCCTGTTCAGTCTATGTATAGCAAGCTAGATACAATGCTGTAATTATTGTTGACTTAAGACTGCCAGTCCTGCTGACCCCTCTATTGAAGCCACTGTTCATATTTGTGCACCTGAATCGGTGTTTAGCTATGGCAACAGCTAAGATTTCAGGCATGTAATGCATATAGATGCAGGTGCAATTAATGACATGACAATAATGTTCAATGCAGATTAAATTAAATGGCCCTGCTTGTTCCCTAAAGTGTTAAAAACATATATATATATATATATATATATATATATAAAGCTTATTAACATCCTTGACATGGAGAGGCTGCATATTTGCATATCCAATGCAAAAAAACATGTGCCAGTATGCAAATATGTGCACTCCTGTCTAATTTTCCACCACCTCATAGAAAGGTCCTGATCACTATTTGCGATCAAGAGCTTTCCTATCAGCCAATCACGGAGGTCACAAACCCCACCCCACCTCTCGGCATCATAAACCCCTTAAAGGTGTGGGAGATGCCGATGCCAATGGGGTTAAAAATTCCTGACACGTTTTCCTGTCTCTCTGACCCTGAAAGCAATATCAGCTGGACAACTTTCTAACTTTGCCCTTCTTTATTCCTCTTCAAAGAAAATCTCCTTCTCCTTGAAAGAAATGACAATATACTGCAATATTTTACAACCCCAATTATAAAAATTTTGGACACTGTGTAAAATTTATATAAAACAAAATGCAATGATTTGCAAGACTCAAACCCATATTTTATTCACAACAGAAACCAGAACACATAAGAAATGTACTATTTTAAGAAAAGTAAAAGTAATTTTGAAATTGAGGGCAGCAACACATTTCAACGGGGCAAGAAAAAGCTGTTAAAGTAAGCGGTACTAATAAGGAATAGCTGGAAGAAGATTTCTACGACTTATTAAGTTAATTGACAACAGGTCCGCAACACAACTAGGTATTACAAGAGCATCTTAGAGAGTCAGGGTGTCACAGAAGTAGAAGTGCAGGGTCTACAAATTGTTAAACAATTTCAGGCTAATGTTCCGCAACGCACAATTTCAAAGACTTTAAATATATCATCTACAGTACATAATACCACTAAAAGATTCCTAGAATCTGGAGAGATTTCTGTGAGCAAGGGACAAGGCCAAAACATGATATTGAATGCCCATGATCTTAGGGCCCTCAGGTGGCATTGCAATAGAAACAGGCATGGTTCTGTGATAGACATCACTGCATGGGCTCAGGTATACTTCCAAAAATCACTGTTTGTCGCGTCATCCAAAAATGCAAGTTAAAGCTCTATCATGCACAGAAAAAGCCATGTCTTAATATACTCCAGAAAAACATCACCATCTTCTCCGGGCCAAAGATTATTTAAAATGGTCTGTTGAAAAATGGAAAACTGTTCTTTGGTCAGACAAATTGAAATATAACATTCTTTTTGGCAATCATGGGTGGTACGTCAAAACTAAAGAGGAGAGTGAACTTCAGTCTTATTATCAGCACTCAAAAGCCTACATTTCTGATGGTATGGGGGTGCATTAGTGTGTATGGAATGGGCAGCTTGCACATCTGGAAAGGCACCATCAATGCTAAAATAAATATCCAGGTTTTAGAGCAGCATAAGTTCCCATCCAGATAACATCTTTTTTCAGGGAAGGCCTTGTATATTTCAGCAGGACAATGCTAAACTGCATACTGCATCTATGACAACAGCATATCTTCATAGTAGAAGAGTCCAGGTGCTTAACTGGCCTGCTTGCAGTTCAGACCTTTCACAAATTGAAAATATTTGGCACATCATGAAACCAAAAATATTACAAAGAAGACCCAGGACTATTGAGTAATCAAAATCCCCTATCAGGCAAGAATGGGACAACAATCCTCTCCCAAAACTCTAACAGCTGGTCTCCTCAGTTCCCAGACATTTACAAAGTGTTGTTAAAAGAAGAATGGATGCTACACTGTGGTAAACGTGGCCCTGTCCCAACTTTTTGAGACTGTGGTTGCCAACAATTTCAAAATTACCTTACCTTAATTTTTTCTTAAAATGGTACATTTTCTCAGTTTAAACATTTGACATGATTTCTATTTTCTATTGTGAATAAAATATGGGTTTATGAGATTTGCAAATCATTGCATTCTGTTTTTAAGTAAATTTTACTCAGCGATCTAACTCTTTTTTGAATTATGGTTGTATGTAGGTTCAACAATGACAGCTGTCAATGTCAGCTCTAGCCTTTAAAGGATCAGTCAACTAATGAATTGGTTATAAGTAAACCTTGCTGGGCTGAGTTTCTTTGGCTTTTTTTAGTCTTGGAGATTTTCTCACAAAGTGTATGGCTCATATTCCCACCTTGCCATGAAACCTCATTCTTAATATGCCATTCTACATGATTTATGATGTGCATATAATCCAGGAGGAAAAGTGGAATTCTTTTTTTTTAACACCTGCAGCAGCCTTGACTACTGCAGAGATGACAAAGGATAAATTAGGACAACGGGGGATTCAACCCGCAAGCATTTCCTAACTGATATGCAATTTAAAGTCAGTAACCGGAAAGTATGATCTGAAATATGATCTGAAACAGGTACCGGCAACATGTGGCAATCGTGGAGACATGGTTGCCAATTTGTTGCACACATTGAACTTACTGTATAATACCTAAATGGTTTTCTTAGTACAGACGGAGAACACTCACACTTTAGGCTAATATGAATATGCATAAACAGGGGGGGGGGGGATTTACAGATGCTAGTAAAAGATCCATTTTACTTATCTCTACAGTAGGCAAGAATAGATTTAGAGATGATGTAATTAATGTATGAGACAGAGGCATATCAATGGAAATGTGTACCATGGTTGCAATCGATCATGAGGTTTCCACCAGAACAGAGACATGGATATACAAACTTCTAAGAAAGTACTAAGTCACTATGCCAAGATACAACCAATGCACGCTTATGGCTTCGCAAGCGAATGTGATCATGAATTCTGCAAAGAAATGAACAAGAATCCATAAATCAACAAATAAATAGAACAAGAAACTAAATAAGAAGCAACACAAAGTAAAATAAAATGTTTGCAAGGCTTTAACATGGAAAATTAGTTATTATGGAAGCCTGGAAATTCTTCAAATGGGAAACAAAAAAGGAAAAAGAGAAGAAATTTTGCAAGGATGAAATTTGCAAGCAACGCAACATGGAAACTAACCAAAATCATGTTTGCCAGCCACATTTGCAAAAAACTGAACAGAGCGGTCACCTGCCGGCTTCCTCCTCACGCAGACCTGATGGGCCGGTCTAGATTGCTTGACCGCAGGTTTTAAAATTACTTTCCTGGAGGGAGAGTGGGTCTGAACATCTGATTTTTTACCAATTTCAGCTTTCTTAAGAACTGCTATAGACAAGGAAAATAAGAAAAAAGAGAAAGAAAGTACAAGTCAGGGGAAATTACAACATACCGTAAAATTAAAAAAAAACACTGCTGAGTTGTATCTATCTATTTAGGCTCCGTGGATGAGCCATAAATCTGTGCTTGGATATAAAAGATGAATAAGTGATGGACCTTTTTTCCTTCTCGCTTCATCTCTGGAGGTTATGCAGGGTTCCTTTTTAGGAATTTTTCTTTCCGGAGTAGAAATTCGACCTCGGCCAGTTTTGATTGGCTTATCTTTTCTATGTCTTTCAATAGGAGCCTTCTGTACTCCTCGCTCTACCTTCTCCTCCTTTGGAATTGCCTCTATAGCTTCAGTCATGATACTTCTTTCATCATCTGTACAGTTGGAAAGAGGTAGGACAGCAGCATATACATGAGTGTTTGAAGAAACCAAAGAACTTCCCAATAATAAAGGCATAAGCTAGCAAGCCTAAGTAGAAACTGCTACTACTGATGGTTATTATAGATTAATATACTTCTTTTGAAACGTATTTGATACTAACATTCTAACAGTAATTATACTATCTAGTGCTGCAAATTAACCATGCTATAGGTGTCAGTTTTTTTTTGTAACCCTAAACATTTCACACTAAGAAACATGTTAAGAAGGGTTTCTAGGATTACAATGGGCCATTCCCAAAGGTCTTTATGTTACCACACAAAGTGGTCCTCTCTTCCACAACAAAGCCATTATTCCAAGAAGTCCAATTTCACATTAATCTTGCTTGCAGCATCTGGTATTTCAGCGTGGCTATTATGTGATGACATGTAACTGTAATTGGTAATATAACTCAAATATCAAAGTTAGTCTGCAAGGCAGACAACTGGGAGTCATAAGAAGGTTGTGGAAGGAAGGAAGCTTTATTGTTACTTTACAGAGAAGACTTCTCTTGTTGAAGTCTTGTACTTTAGAGAGAGGAAGGAGGGGTATACTTGTGTTTTACCCCTGAAAAAGCATTTCATATATTTATGCTAATCAGTGTATGTTTTAAATGTGCCCACTGAGTAAATTTAAACTTTAGTCAGATATAAAGAAAACATCAGTTAATGCAGTTCTGAAGCCATAAAAAAATTATAAAATACATTTTATATGCAACTAGTGTAAGAAGCTAAACTGAAAGTGTAACTAAACCCCAAACAAAAATTTAAAATATTTTAGCTTACCAAATATTTGATGTGGTGGCTGCATTAATTTTCTTTTTTTTGGGGGGGAGGGGGGTAATCCTTTATTTTTTGGTACTGTTGGTATTATGCAATCACAAAGTAATCAAGCATAAGGTACAGTGCGCACCACAGCAAACGATTTTCCTTTGATTGCTAACCCACGCAGGGGCAGTTCGGGATGCAACTAGAGATTACCGATTCCTAAGTGTATATAAAATTAAAGACCCTCAAGAGCAAAGGTACTTCTCGAGATCCCTCGAGAAGAAGTCGGAAGTGACGAAACGCATCAGAGATGTGACGTCAGCCGTAAAACCGGAAGGAGCGGCGCTGCCATCTTTGGTATTGGAATTCGGCTGTGAGAACTGCTGGGAAGGATGGACGGTTTTTTTTCCTTTTTATAATGTAATAACGGAATAAAGTTGTTATGTTAACCTTCACACTCCACTGATTATTGCCTTCTCTGCCCTTATGAGGAGCGGGGGAGATTTAATTGGACATATCCAAAGGGTGGAAGCTGAGAATACCCTGGAATGCTTATATATGCTGGTTTAAGCTGAGAGGGGGTAATTGCATTGAATCCTATTATAGTGTGGCACCACTGGAAATTAGCACATTATCACAGGCTGAGCAGCTTGCTGTGAATTTACCTCACGAGTGGGGGAGTCACGGATTGTTCACTTATATTGTATATTTATATGTACTCATAATTTTGAAGTGTTGATATTCACATCTTATTTGAGATTCACAGAGTGCTGTATTTGTTCATCTTATAGTTTTTTGTTTTTTTCTCACGAGTGGTTTTGCATGGAATCACACATCACTTTATATATTTAAGGATAATGCACTATATTTAGTTTCATATTTTTGAGGTATCCTGGACTTGGAGTGGGGATTCGAATTGGATATTTTCACACAACATTTGGAAGATTTATTTTTGGACACTTTGGACTTGATTTTGGACATTTTTTGTAGTAAGATCTAGGGGGTGTGTTATAAGGGCTGGAGAAAAGGCTTTAGATATTTGTACTTTCAAGGGTGAAAGGTAGACTTTTCTTTGGGGATTATTATAGAGGTATGAATACTGTACTAGGTATACAAAACAACAAAACGAGTTATTATAAAAAATATATCGATATATACCCAGGTGATCTCTTGAGTTGCCTTGGAAAGCACAATGAATATTAATCCTTAATTTTCGTCTGGTGTTTGGACAGCAGCATTGTCAATCAGTGGAGAGGGTGATTTTAGATGGTCTAGTAGATTTAAATGGACTCTACATTAATGACTAAAAATGTAAAGCCCAACTCCAGCTAACACTTTTTAGGCAGCTACAGCAATATTTTTTTTCATTTTTTTCCATTTACATAAATGATTAAATATGATCATTGTAAGCACCCCTGTCAACATTTAATGGTTTGTCCAAACCCTCTAACTGCCACCTTTGTTGGACAGCTTGGTCTGTTAAAGGAAGTAAAAAACAACAGACTTACTGGCCAAGTAATAAAACTATGTAACAACAGGGCTAATAGAACAAAGACTGCTGTATTAATACTATTGAAAAACTGCAATATACATGTATTTTTTTATAGTTACACTTAAAAAGGTAAAGTAAACCTACCAATTTAGATGTTCCCCAAATAGTTATATTCAAGGCATGTCCTAAATGATAATTGTTACAATTAGCACTGTGCTTAAGTAAGCTCTCAAGAAAACTGTCAAGCCATTAAATGGCTGGGCATCATAGCACTTGTACTTGTACCGCAACTGCAAATCAAACTAAGGCCAAGATGGCTGCTTCCTTGGATGTAAAGGACAGGAGTGTTTAGTTCCACTTTAACTTGGTATTAGCCTCTTGTAACCCATGTACCACAATACTGAGATAGGGAAAGGCAGATGTCAATCAGCTATGCTGCAGTGCACATGTGATGACATAAATAAAACAAACAAGACCTAATAAGGTCAATATATCCACTAGGAGGCATGTTGTGATTAGAGGAGGAGGTGACTCTGTGAATAGATCAGGAGAGAGGAGAAAGAAGCGCCATCTAGGTGTAGTATTAAAATACTCCAGAACATCCTGCCAGCTGGCTCACAGCCTCCACCTCCTGTGGTCCGGGTCCGGTACTGATGACAACTCTCATATTGTTACACATGCCTTAACATATTCCTTTCTTGTGAGTGCAATTGTTTATGATTATTAAATGGTTATTTTAATACTACACATAGATGGCGCTTCTTTCTCAAGTGATGACAACAGACAAGCTGACAGGAACAGAGAGCAGAGTGAACAGAAGGGTTTCCAGAAACAAAAATTTCCCAGCATACTTTCCAGATAGCCTGCAAAAAAAAAAAAAAAAAAAACTGACCCTGTCTAACAATTCATATTAAAAACAGAGGGTTTCATTGTATACATCTACAATTATATGTGGAAACTGCAGTGCCTATGCCAAGGCTCCTCTGTATATTGCAGTCCTAACTCTATATTTCTGCAGTGGATACACTTAGGGCAGGTTTGCCTGGATAGAGTCAACTCCCTCTTAAAGGCACAGGGACACACTGGACACCCAGCAAGTGCATACTGACAGCTGAAGGCATCCAATGTGACCACATGCCAAACCCAGCGAACAAGCTACACAAAAAGATTCAACCACTTCAATTTATAACTAGCTTTTGCAGTAAGGTGCATGTGGAAGGGCAATGCACATCAACAGAGGGATTGGTTTATTTTCTCTGTTGATGCTCTGCTATTGTCCAATCAGGCTAGGGATGGGGAGGTTACCAAGCTGTGTGAATTAACCACAGAAGAGAAAAGTCATATTACAAATCGGGTTCTGCTGTTTGTCAGATCTGTATAAATCTCAGAACTATAGGGCATGATTACAAACTATTTGACAGGTAATACTTCCTCCACATTTGTATTCAGCTCTGTATTTAGTTGTGTACCTGGAGTTCAGTTTTAAATAAAACTAAGGTTGACTTCTGTACATCAGATATTTAGCTTTTCTTTCAACACAGTGTTAATGACAGTACTGAATCAACAATATTACATCTACATTTTCATGATTATTAATTCAGCCAAAAAAACTGGCTAGTTCCACTGTGTAGGTGTCAGGTCTACATTTAAGTGTTTTTTTTATTGTTCAGCTTCTCAATATAAGTTACTGCATCTTGCTAGAAACATGCTTCCTCTGCATTTCAGCTCATTTAATATTCTACATTTCTGAATTTAGTGATTCATTAAAAATCAAATAGCAAAGTACAAATTATTTTGTTGAAGTACAAGCTGTTTATCTGTCTGCCAGCTAACCTGTTACGCCCCTTCTCCTTAACAAACTAGCAATTACACATTTGTCACCAGCTCAGAGAGCTGACAGCTGTTCTTTGTGCTGAAAACACTTCATTGCTTTTAGCTATTCTCACTTTTTCACTGCAGTATTATGTGCAAACAATGGCAGGGCATTTTGAAGCCAAACGCCTTTTCTTTCTAAAATACAGCATGATTTTTTTCACAGAAGGAGTTAAAATGAACATCACTTTACTATAAAAAAGTAGAATTCCTATTACTCAAACCAATATTATTGTCAATTAATGATACACTTATTTATGTACAGGCTTTCAAACTACACGTGGCACCCACAGTTGCTTTGTGGTGGAGGTAGAATAGGGCTTTCAATATTTCCTTGCAAGTGGAAGATGCTGTATGTTCTAGATCTCTCTGATGCATGACATTTACAGCTGAATAGGTTCTGTGTATTGTCCGAAAAAACAAATTGAATATAAATTAAGTCTGACATATATAATTTTGCTTTTTGTCCACACAAATATATGACTGTGTATCCATATCTGGATTCTATGCTACTGCATAATGTAGACCTTGGCACATTAAATTTCATGCACAAGTGCCATTGATCACAGATGTTATCTAATCACATGTGTAATTCTTCTAAATATTATGTGAAGCTGGAGTTGCAATGACCCATGGATTACTCTGCTTTCATATTCAGAATTCCCATGGCTGCAAAGCAGTATTAAAACTAGCTGGAGCCTAATCCAGTATGGGCTTTGTACAAAAATAAGTGCATTACATGGTTTTTGTAGCTGCTATTGTTCTGATGTAAAATAGGCATATAATTCACAGATGTAAAGAGTAGATAAAAATGATCAGTTTATGTTATTAAACATTTGCAACAGGTTGCAAAAAGTAAAATGTTAATGCTCTTAAATGGTGGTCAGTGGTGTGTGAGATGTATCTACTGTTTAAGTATCACTTAAAGCTGAACTCCAAACAAACACGTACATACAAAGATGTTGTACCTTTATTTTTGTCCATCCATTTTTGAGAAGTACATGGCTCTGCCACACAGCATAGCCCCGGCTTTCAAGGCAGGAGACCTAATCTCTACTGCACTTAAAGTGGAGCTCCACCCAAAAGCGGAAGTTCCACTTTAAGACTTTGTCCGCTGCTCCCCGTTAAGGATTGCTAACTTTTGGGGAGTGGGTGGGGGGGAGTGGGTACCTGTCAAATTTGGCGATAAGCGATCGGAAGCAAAAGTTGTCCTCCCTCCCGCAGTCTTCCGGGACACGTGACAGGTCCCAGAAGACTACCAGACCATTGACAAAGTGCAGCGATACTCGCACATGCGCAGTGGGCACCCGGCTGTGCAGCCACAAGCTGTCACAGCCGGGTGCCCACACTGAAGATGCCGGCGCCAGGGAGAGAAGATGGCCAGTGAAACCAGTGGTGGTGAGGACACCACGGGATTAAGGGACAGGTAAGTGTCTGTATTTTAAAAGTCAGCAGCTACAGTTTTTGTAGCTGCTGACTTTTGTTTTTTTTTTTTCTAAATCAACTGGAACTCCGCTTTAAGGAATACAACTAGATCGTGTCCCCATCCCCGCCCTTAGTTCCCTTCTGACTTAGGAGGAAGAAACTGATGAACTTGTCTCTGTGCCACTCTGCTTATCCTCTTGTCAGCATGCTTCTGGTTAGCACATGAGCACTGTAGCACAACTGATTGCCTCCTTGTGCTACTCCTCCCTCTCCTAGTCTGAGCTGCACTGTACAAGGTGACTACAAAAGGCTGATACCAAGTCAAATGTATTTAATGACAGTGCTTGCAGTTGAAAAATTACAATCTGTAGTGTATTAATGAATACTAAGCTGCACTATTTTGTGTCTTTTATATTTGGCAGGAGGGTAGTTTTAGATCTGTAACTCCATTCCAGCAAATATTGCTTGACAATCCAACTTCTGCAATAAATACAAATTTTAAAAACTGTCTAGTCAATAGAAAAATAGAATGGTAACTCACCTTGTGTGTCCACCCAAATGCTATCTGTATCCAGAACGGAATCATCAATGGTTGTTTCATCTCTGTAATCATCCTGTGTTTCTGTCTTGTATTCTGTTTCCTCCCTTTCTGGGGAAGCTGGCATACAAGGTGATCCTTCTTTGGGCTCTTCATTGGATTCTTCTTCTATTACTTCCTCCTCCTCATCCTCCTCCTCCTCCTCCTCCTCTTCTTCTTCTGTTAAGTGCTTCTCATCAAGTTCAGCAGGTTGAGTTGCTGCAAAGCGGACATTGTGAGCCACAGATTCACCTTCATCCACAGTGGTTTGCTCTACCTTAATAAAATCATCTTCCACTGTTACCACAGACTCAATAATTCCTTTTGTTTCTTCTGCATGGTCCTTAATTGGTTCTTTATCAACATTCTCTAACTCAACTTCCTCAGGCATTTCTTGGGTTAGGTCTTTACTACTTTCCACTGTTACCTCTAACTCATGTATCTCTTTGTCAAATTCTTCATCAACAGGTTGCATTATCTTCTGATCGATTTCTTCTGTTGCAACTGTCTCCGTAGTTTGCTCTAAATGAAGTTCCTCCACCTTTTCTTCCTCTACTTTTTCTGGCTCCTCATGCTTAACTTCCTGTTTAAGGGAAACGAGTGTCTCTATTGGTTCTTTTGTGATCTGCATAGAGATATCTTCAATATCTGGTTTTTGAGTATCTACAGGTGATGTAGTCTGGGAGCCCTCCTGTGATGGCTCTTGAGCTTGTTCTGGTTCTCCACTAGATTCATAAGACTCTTCTTTGTCAACTGCCTCTTGATGTACTAAGTCAGGCTTTCCACCTTTCTCCTTCAAATCAAGTTCAGAAAGTTTGGCACCCTCTTTCAGAGTGGCTGCATCTTCATCAGAAATGACTTTAGCCATCATGGAATCAGAATCTTCTGGAGTCACTTGGGGTTCAGTAACTGCTCCTTTCGTATCTTCTTCTTGTGCCTGCAACTCAGAAGGCTCAGTAACTTCTTGACTGAGTGTTTCTTCTGTAGATAGCTTGACTTGTTCAGATGTCTCTGTTACAGTTTTCACAGGGACAGTGTCAGGGGCTGTTTCACTTTCTTCAGGTTTGGAGTCTTTTACAGATATCTTATCTATTTCGTCCTTCATCTCAGAGGTTTCTTTGTCTTTGAAGCCAGGCTCTGTGCCTTCTACTTTGTCTTTAATCTCTGCTGTCCCTAATGAATATTTTAACTCAGTCAGATCCTCTCCTTTTTCTAAGACAGTATCAAGTTTTGTCTCACCAAACTTTTTATCCTGCTCTGACTCCCACCCTGGTGACCCTGTGTCACTGCTGGATTCCTGCATTTCTATTCCAAGTTTTTTCTGCTGCTGCCAGTTTTATCTGAATAATGGATGGATCTACAGCAAGGCCTTCATAAAGGGTAGACATTCCCCCACTCACACCTTCACTGTCTTGTACTGGAGATGGAAGAGGGACAGTGTATTTATTGAACACACAGTAGCCTAGTTCTTCCTGCTGGCTATCTGTCTTTACAAGAAGGCTGCTTCCTTCAATTACAGATGCTTGCTGGAGTACACTACCTTCATCAATAATGATATCAGAAGCTCCAGACTTTCTTCTAGTAACATCTACCTCTGCACTACCTGAATCTAGCCTGGATCGAGGTTTAGTTAAATCAAGCATTTCGGGCAAATCTGGTGCCATGATAGTACCATTCTTGTAGTACTCTTTAGCCGGATACTGAGACTCACATAATGGTTCTAACTCAAACCTTTCTTTCCCTGTATCTTTTTCTGTTTCTTGTTTATCCTCTTCTTCCTCCTCTTCTTCGTGCTCTGGTTCTTCTGGGAATGAAGGAGCTTTTTCCATAGCTGGGGTGAAGGCTGGCAAGTCACCTTCATCGCCCTCATCTAGGCTCCCACTTGTATTAGAAAGAATATCAGTTGCCAGAGGAGAAAGGTCATGGGCACGAGCATAGCTAAATCCTAATGCAATGGAGTCAAGACAGGACATTGGAAGATTTATAGACATACTTCTTTGCTCAATTGCAGATCTTCCGCCAAGTCCTAAACTACGACTGAGGGTCAGATCATCTTTATTTTTACTAAGGAACTCTGATTTGTCCGCATATATATTTGGATCAATTGTGAACAAACGATCCCCTGGATATACAGTTGCCTGAATCTTTCCAGATGTAAGAGTACTATAACCTACATCATGAGCTGCACTGACCTTTTCTTCAACAGCTGGGGCTAAATCATTCTCCTCTTCATCTTCATCTTCATCCCCTTTAGCTATATGTGGGATGGAAGCAGCTTCATAAGGAGGCTCTTTCACATCAGTCAACTCATAGTAATCACTACTTTGTTGAACACTACCTTCTAAAGCTTCATCTTTCAGTGCAGATGTTTCAAAATATGTGGACATTCCAGACTTATCCTCCTCCAGCTTGATTTTATGCTCGGTTACAATTTTGCTATCATCCTTAGATTCTAGTAAAGATTTCTCTTTAGGAGATTGCAACATAATTTCTTTTCCATCTTGAATCTCAAAAGTGTCTACTGCTGATGCTTCCTGTTTATCTTTAATTTGCTTTTCATTATCAGTAGCTTTGCCACTGAACGGTTCATCTTGTTTTGGCAAAATGCTTATTTGACCTATTGCTTCACCAGGCTTGGTGTGAATATCCTCTTTTTCATCAAGTTGTTTGTCAGAAACTTTACTAGACACATCACTTGATGTTGTTGAACTAGGTATCTCTTCTTTCATTTGTGCACTTAATATGCTAAAGGTTTCTGTCTCTGGCTGAACCAGTTGACTGTGACAACTTTCAATGGCACTATCTTTGGCAAATTGTGGGAAATCTGTCTTATCTGTAACGTCTTTCTCAAATGAATCTGTGACAAGCATTGAGGTATGTAAAGAAAGTTCATCTTTGACAGCCAGCCCTCTATCCTGTATAGTCGAAAGTGGTACAGCAATTTCACTTGAAGGGAAACTAGAGAACAGGTTTTCTTTCAGATTGCTTGTTGGGGAAGTTGAAAGGTTATCTTTGCTTTCAGTTTCAGCTTTCATAAAGTCTTGTTCAGCTTCAGGAGATGTAGGGGTGCATGGTTCTATAGAAAATGAGTAACCATGTGGAGCCTCAAACACTATATCAGTGCTGGGCATTTCTAACACTGAAGGCAATTTGTCATCTTCCCTCTCTGGCTTCTTGATATCTTTCTCAGGGACTTGTGATGCCAAGATATCTTGCTTTGGTTCCTCCTCTGTCTTGCTCTTAGTAGATGGAATATCTTCAACAACTTCCACGGAGGAAGGAACAGAATCTGAATGTCCTTGTGCCCCCATCTTCGAGGCTGAAAGCAAATCTAGAGAAGTTTGACTTTTTTTTCAAAACATATTTGTCAGAAATCATTCATCATAGATACCTCTGTGAACTGGTGCATTACAATTTATGTAACAAAGCAGGAAGCACAGCAGCTCATACGTAAAACAGCAGGGCCTGGGATTACAGTACACTGTAACCTGAATAAACCAGATTATGCTACATGACACATCATAGACAAGTATAAATCATTGTTTTCAAATTTGTCAGAAGCCAAAAAATAGGGATCATATAGGGGTTATCACTAATTAGACAATTATTTTTAGTGGAGATACAAACCCTGCATCAAGTCACTGTACAGGGCATCTGCATGAGAGGTTTGACTGAAATGTCAATGTTTTGGGGAGGAATTTTGAACAAAGATGCTATGAAAGGAAACAGTTTAATTAGGCAAGGCATCGCCATACCGGTCCATTTAACACACACGCATCATTGCACGTTATGTCATGTGTTATTGAGTGTTGTGTTAAAACAGCACATTAATTTGGTAATGCACCACAATGCACAGCAGTGTGTTACTATGTGTTGTGGTGTGTTGCTTTGCAGGTACTTTCCCTTAGGCTGGCCATACAGTATACAATTTTCTTGTACAAATTTCCTTTAGATTTACCAAAACCGTATAATATAGGTCAAACCTAAACACTTTCAACTTGTATGCAATCAGACAGGCATTTGCACTAAATTGTTGAAGGTAAATCTAAAGGGAATTTAATAAGAAAATTGTATAATGTATAGCCAGCATTAGTGGCTCACGATGTCAGTGAGAAATAAAGGCACTGTAACACAATAATGCTGGTACAGTGTGCTACCATGTGTTGTGGCAAAGCATACATTATCGTAATAAGGATAGAATCAGAGGGTCTTCACTCATTATTTTCTGACCTGGCACAATAGAAATTTTGCACTATTTCTGCTTTTTAAAACTTTCTAACAAAATTTGCAAGAAAATTAACTGGAGCGCTGAATGCGGCATCAAACATACAGCACTCTAGCACTTCCTAGTGGCAGGGGCTCAAAGCTGACAGAAACTAGAACAGAAACAACAACAAATACACTTTCTTGGGGAGAATTTAGAAAATTCTAATGCTTTTTTATGGTTGTCTCTGTCTTCTTCTTCTGGTGAGCTCAATGAAGTCACATGTAATATTAAAAATCCAAGCTAAAAACTAAAAACAGTGGCTAGGGATGGGCTTTAGATGCTTTTATTTTAAGCTGTTTGTTAAATAACATTCGACTGTGGTCTTTCTTAACAAAGCAATCCACCTACATGTTTTAGTTAAATTTAATTTAAAGAAAAATTGCCTCAAAGCTACTATGAAAGAAAATAATGCAGTTTCCATAGTAACATTTAGGTGATGCAATTTAAAAGATTGTACAAAGTAAATCAAGCATTTGTATTGCATTGCACTGTGTTGCATTGACAGTAAGGACAATGTGACTGAAGACTTTAATCTCTCTTCGACTATCCAATTTTAATTTGGAAGAATCCAATCCCAAGTTTGGAACTTGTCTTTGAACGTATGATCTCAGTAATATTGGATTTACAGTATATGCTATTAATCAGGTTACAGTGCATCTGTAAATACATGACAAACAGTACAGAGAGTATCAAAACAACATAAGCGATTCACATTGCAGGATTTCTCTGCTGACACAGTACTCCGAAGACCTATTTGAAAAATGTGTTACTGGGTAACCATTTCTAGAATTGTTTCCCAGGTATAGAAAGTATAGCACCTTTTAAATTGTATTATTCCCTGTTGTAAAAAGAGTAACATTTAATTCACCATAGAAAAAAAAAAACATTTCTTAGGTACAAGCCAGCACTGCCTCTTCCTTAATACTTTGTTTCTGGTGGGTAACTTGTCAAATGACACAGCAAATAAAATAGAAATATGTATAGGTAGCTTTCAGCTACCTCCTGAGGTCAGTTATCAACATTTAAAATGTAATGTTCAATTTGGTCCAAAGCTTTTTCAATAAAGAGGAGAGAGGAGAAACAACCTGTCCAACATAGACTGAAACAGCAATAAATACATATTTAATAAATGGGGAAAGGTAACAGTAGAACCTTTTTAATATTTATATTGCATGTGTCCCCACTGAGATTTCCTATTGTCCCTTGCGCCTGACATGCTGTATGTCATAGTGTGACAGGGTATCACTGGAAGAGGAAACGAGGGGAAGTCTCCCCTGCAGTTCTAACCCACTCCAGGCAAAGTAAGAAAACAGGATAAAGTTGGACTTTATGAACATTCAAGTATTTAAGAGTGTGTGTTTATTTATTTTATAATTGGATTTGGATTTTTAATGCTGATATATATGAATATATGTATGCTGAACATTGCATTGATGTCTACAATGCATACAAATATAAAAATTATACGTTTTCTTTCTAAAAACATATTCTCTTCTCCATTGTACTCCATGTTCCCCTACACTAATTTCCAGATTTTTTTCTTGCTCAAAAAAATATTTAGTCACAGATCTTAAAAAAAACCCAAAAAGCACCAACAAAACACAGTTTGTTTATGAAGTAGCGATTAAGATTTTGAGGTCTTTAACCTGGGTTTTCTGGAAGATACGGCATGGCTGGAAGATAAAAAAGTTCAAAAATCAGTGCCTCTTATATAAAAAAAAGTAAATGCTTGTAAACCTCAGCTTAATTCTTGGACTAGAGTAACTATTTCTGAAATCTGAAGTCTGTTGGGTTCCGCAATTGTTTTATGTCAACAAAAAATTAGTTTGGCAGTCATTAATAAATCTTTGGAAATTAATAGGATGATTAGAACATGTTGGTACATACATCTGTAAAAAGCTCACAAATGACTGCTATCAGCCTGTACATGGTCAGTACCATATAACAGGCCATAGAGGCACAACATACGATCTTGCCTGCTGTCTCAGTTGCTAAACTAAATTTTTTGCACCTGTTGTCCAGAAGGGATGTGGAGTCTGGGTTTTCTGGCAATTATGTTATGAAATCTACAACAAACCACAAAACATTTTACAGGTAGCTTTCAAATTGCTTCTATTTTGCTGGAATTTTAACATGTGTCTTAGGGTAGGTGACACAGAAAATTAAGAAGAGAAGATATTTAAAGAAAGTGTTGTCTAAAGTGATAATGGTATTATATACGCATATATACTTAAGTATTTAATCCCATTGGAAGCAGATGTTCCCTTCCCTATCTTTTTAAATGCGTTATTTAAAGGGAACTTGTCAAGATAGAAATACACACTCTTTCATTGCTGAGTTATGGGTTACCACTCTACAATTAGTCAAAGCAGAATTACTATGACAACCCCTGGGAATGCACCTTTAAAACAAGTTAACTTGGGAGCTTCCATATCATGACAGCTTCCATTTAACACATAAAGGGTTACATATCCCATTTAACTTGACAAAGGCCAATTCTATTTCTGTTACTTAATCTGGCATCTGGTTTATCAATCTTACGAATGTACCATTTAAAATGTTCTTATTCCCCATAGCACCCAATAAGATTCTGTTAGCCTTTTTATGCACAGCAGATCAAGATATAAAAGGAAGCAATGAATCTTAATGGTTGCTATGGGCAACAAAAGCCCATCTCGCCCTTAAGTTTTTTTGTAATAAATTAAATTAGGTGTGTCATAAATCTATTGGAATGGTTCTGTTAAGACATCATATATTTAATAATACATAAATGACCACATACAGAAGAAAAGAAACAACAAAACTACACATTTATCAAGGCAAGAAAAAAGAATGCTAACTTATAGCACAGCTTTATAATGGGCAGCCGCAGACTGCAATGAATGGAAGAAGACATGCTTTAAAGAAGAAAACGGTAATTATTAAAAAAAAAAAAAAAAAAATCAAGAGACAACATAAACAAAATAAACAAAAAGAAAATCAAACATTAACAAATGAAATATAAAATCAAGTTGGGAAACTGAGCCTCTATGTAAAAAAAAAAGTTAGAACTAACGTAGGAATTTAATAAATGAATAAAAAAATAAAACAGAGAGGTATATAGTCATCAGCAATGTGACTGGCAAACACGTCTAACATGGCAGAAGAAAGACTAACACGAAGCAACAGCTTAGCAGCAAAGCATGTTTGTATCATGGCAAAGTAACCTGAAATCAGCTACTGAGGTAGGAAACGCTTTGTGCTGTCCATGACAGACAACAAACTGCAGTCAGCTTAGGAAAACAGCAAAGCCAATAAACATGGCAACACATAAGAATGAAACAGCCTCAGATGAGCGTTTAAGTTGGATTCAGGGAGCAAATAACATGCACAGCATACACAGGACACACCTTCCTCTGGTAAGGAAGGCATTACAACAGCAGAGGATTCTGCTTCACTTTTTGTAATGCTTTTTCCATCTGCTATTTCGCATACAACACTTTCCTCTTGGTGTTGTGTGTCATCAGATCCTGAATCTGATTGGACCTGGCTGAGCCCCAAGTTGGAGGACTCAGTTGGCCTGCTTTCTCCCCCCTGAGCTTTCTCGTCTTCTTTCTCAGTCACAGGACCCTTAACTCTCTCTTCTTTGGAGTTGAAAAACAAGATGACATGGAGAGAACAAATAAGACATTCATAGGAGAGTTATGAATAGAACACCTTATTAAATGAAATATTTTGGAAAAATAAAAGAATTACATATATATTTGTAGCATTGACCTGACTAGTTTTGGCACATACCTTGTCTCTGAATTGTAATCTGCCATTGTTATTGTGTAGTAAAAATGGATATGACTTGCAATACTAAGGACAATAATTGACTGGGCATTTACTGTTATACAACTGATCTTCAGTGCCTGGGAATTTCTATTAAAGTGCATTACATTTAATTTAATATTTTTCTTCAGTCAACTTGCTGATGCACTTGGAAATATATGTTGCAGTACATTTCATTTATTTTAATCTTTTTTTAAATTAACTTGTCAGTGAACTAGGTAATTTATGTTTCATTACCTATTATAAAATGGTTTGGGAATATTTGATGATGAAATTATCTATATCAAGTCTCTCTTTAACTTCTTGTACACATTCTAACACTGAAAATAGGACTTGATTATCAAAATGCATTTTATTTTATTAAATGAACATATATGCCTATAATAAGTATCAGTTTAGTTTCATCTACATTGTGTGGAAGAGGTACTACACGAGAAGAGATAGATTAGCTACACGAACACAATTTACTCTTAGCCTACTGAAGCTGTATTCACTTCAAATACCCAGTCGTGCAGGTGAATTGAAAAAATATTATTTGGATGACTGAAGTGGACAGGGCTTTAAACCACTGGGCCACAAAACCATTCCACTCCTTTAGAAAAGAAACACTCAAGGGGCTGCTTCTCACACTTGCAAAGGTTGTCCCTTACAGAATAATTTGGTGTGCTCCACATCGGTAGCCTAAAGGCACATAATATGTCAAATTGAAGCTTAGTTATTACATTCAAAAATACAGTTACCATAGGCCAAACTTCTTAATTTAATGCAGCTAAATATTAGAATGTAGAAATCTAGATAGCAACTTATATTGACCCTATCGAAATAAAAAGATTGCACATGCCACGTACCTGTAAAGAAGAAACAAAATAATTACCTCTCCTGTCACTCGTGCCACTGAATACCATTCTGATCCTGAGAAATGGACCCACAAAGCCCACTAGGAAGCCACCAGTTTCAAAAATGTCCCTTGAGTCCCCCACAGCTCTCACTGATTTCTCCACTTGATTTCCACTTCATTACAGGACATAGTAGTGACATGGGGGTGGTGGTCAACAAGAGGAACCAGAGAGCTGCAGAGGACTCAGGAGATCAACACCCTCCGAAGTGTGGGTTTACCAGCAAACTTCATGGAACGATTTCTCAGTATCAAAATGGCCAGCAGAAAAGCTCTGTATTCTGTTTTTTTTTCCTTTACAGTTAAGTGGTTTGCTGAAACTTTTGACTTATGTGACAGGATCTTTTTATATATGAAAAGAGTAATCGGCTTTCCAGTAAAGCTGGACAACAATTTGTATCTGAGTGCAATGGGGAAAAAGAGAATTCCACTGTTTAATGACAATTATTTTAAAAATAGCATAAAAAGTTAGGGGAGATGCTACCTCTTAAAAGAGACCCCACTTTTTCTGCAGTCAGCTATTCATCCATTACCTTAGGTTAAATCAACCTTAGGGATGTATATTAAATCAGCCCTAAATGAGAATTAGACTTATTATTATTATTATTATTATTATTATTATTATTATTAATTATTATTATTAATAAAAGAATTCCATTTATTTTCCCAAAATCCCTCCTTATGGAGTGTACTTTTCAAATTTCATTTCAAATACTAAGAAAGTCCTACAAAATAATAAGAGTTATCCAAGAAGAATATGACTAAAATGTGATTTCAAAAATAAACCATAAGAGCAATCTAGATTATATCCAGTAAAATATGATTTAATATTATTTGATGATTCCCAACTGCAAAGTATGCAAGTGAACTGCAGTGTACAACATGGATATGGAAATGGTAAATATATATATGGGTGAAAGATACCTTGTAGGTATGTACTAGTAATAGTTTAGGTTTATTACCATGAGATCACGATAAATTTAAGTTTCAGAATTACTTCTGTGTTTTGTACATTTTGCATAGTGTATCACATTCAAATTCCCAAAGGACCAATTCCATAACAGGGCCTTACCTTCCTCCACCGTTCCCATCTGTTCTGAAGCCGGTGAAGGAGGAGGGGAAGGAGGCAGATTGGTTGTATCTTCTACAGCTAGGATTTAAAGAAAGGTAAAGTAGGTCAATGAGATGCAGGACTCTATGAAGAATAAGGCATGTAAAAACATATATAATCTCTGCATATACAGAATGTAGAACAGGGATACCAACTAGGATCATAGTATTTGCAGAATGATTTAGCAATATGCTCTGATAAAAAATTAGTTGCATATACTTTGCAATTTTACTTAAAGTGATATTAACCTCTTCCATACGGGCACTTTTACACCCTTCCTGCCCAGGCCAATTTTCAGGTTTCAGCGCTCTCACACTTTGAATGACAATTGCGCGGTCATACAACATTGTACCCAAACTAAAATTTTATAATTTTCTTCGCACAACTAGAGCTTTCTTTTGGTGGTATTTAATCACCACTGTGGTTTTTATTTTTTGCTAAATTAACAAAAAAAGACCGAAAACTTTGAAAAAAAAACACGTTTTTCTTTGTTTCTGTTCTAAAAGTTTGCAAATAAATAATTGTTCTTCATAAATTTAGGCCAAGATGTATTCTGCTACATGTCTTTGGTGAAAATAACCCAAATTAGGATGTATTTTTTAGTTTGTAGGAAAGTTATAGAGTTCACAAACTATGGGATATATCTGAATATTGATCAATCCTGAAATACTGACAGCCAATCTAATTTCTTGAGGTCCAAGAATGTCAGAACAGTACAGATATCCTCCAAATGACCCCATTTTGCAGATTAGACAGTCCGATGTACTTCATAAGATGCATGGTGAGTTTTTTGAAGTGGTATTTTTTTTGTCATAATTTTTCGGAAAATGAAAAAATTAAAAAAAATTATTTTCACAATTTTTTTTTACATACTGTCACCAGTGCAGTACAGCGTCATAATATAACTGGCATGGCAGTGCTCAGGGACACTGACTGGTGACAGTATGAAAAAAAAGATTAAAATTTTTATTTTTTTTTTTTTTTTTCTTAAATTTTTTTTTTTTTTGTTAAGATTTGTTTTTTCATATTTAACTATGACCAAAGTAGTACAATATTACCATAGTAACATTGTACTACTTTGGGGAAGTGATCTATATTTTTTTTATTTTTTTTTACACAATTTGCTTATAGCAAAGAATTACTTTGCTATAAGCAAGCATTTACCTGAATGACATCGATTCATTCAGGGTTTTTTTTTTTTTTTTGTACTTAGCGGTGATATGGCCACGGCTAATCACATGACACAGCTGGGCTGTGATTGGCCCAGTTTGTGTATGTGATCGCTGTGATCATTCACAGCTAGACACACTAGTATACAATGGATGGCATGAATGAAGCCATCCACTGTATACAACTGTCATGTGACCTGCTGTGATTGGTCACAGCAGGTCACATGGTTTTGGCAACAAGGCCGGTATTCAGATCTGTCATCGGCTGTCTCCGAGGTACAGGGCCGGTGACAGATCGCACCGCTGTGGTCATTCACAGCTAGACACACTAGTATACAATGGATGGCATGAATGAAGCCATCCATTGTATACAACTGTCATGTGACCTGCTGTGATTGGTCACAGCAGGTCACATGGTTTTGGCAACAACGCCAGTATTCAGATCTGTCATCGGCTGTGTCCGAGGTACACGGCCGGTGACAGATCGCACCGCTGTGCGGCTCTGCAGGCGCGCAAACTGCACATGCCCGAAAGGACGCCATATGGCCTGGAAAGGTAAGGGCTTTTGCTGGCCGCCATTTGGCCATAGGCCAGGCGGAAAGAGGTTAAAGGCATTTTTTTAAAAATAACAATCATGTCATTCTTACCCACTCTTTGCAATGGTTTTGCACAGAAAATGTTTTTTTACCTTCATGCATAGAATGCATGAAGGTCAAACCCCTGAGCCTTTATAACTGCTTTAAGTTACATTAATCCTTAGAAAAAATATTTTTATAATATTTTGGGTGGACATAAAGGTAAAATTAGTTATTTAATTATACAAACCGCATGAAAAACAATTAATATTGTTTTGGATTAAGGATTGTACAGGCTGCCTCTGATCAAAAATTGTGCTTACTTTTTGTTATACATCTGGTGTTAGACCTATTAACTGCAACTGAAAATCTAAAACCAGATGCAAGTATGATCAGTTGAAAATTTCAAAGAAGGGGCATGTAATGGCAATCGAAATGTTTGTGAAGAGTGCCACCTAGAATTAAAGTTACACTAAATGATATCCTTATTTTTCAAAAATAATTCATACACATCCACTGCTAAATTTCTCTGTAATCTATGTTTCACTAAATATTTTCCTACTATGTTTTTGTCTCCCTGTAACATTCTCCCTGATTTCCAAAATCTCTCCTTTTCCCCCTAACCTCCTCTTTCTTGAACTAAGCAGTGGACATTACTCTGCAGTACACACTACAAATCCCATAGTCCATAGTTCCTGCTCCATTTTGGGAATGAGAAAGAGAGAGTGGCTACATTATTACTTACAGTACTTACCATGAAGAACAAACATAGCCACCCCCTAATTGGATTTTGGATTATAGCAGCAAAAAAGAAATGAGGAGATTTGGAGGAGAATGAGAACAATAGGAAGAGCATTTTTCAGTTAAGAATACATATTTGAATAGAATATATTTTTTAAACCCGAGTTTAGTGTCACTTTAAACATACTGGGGGAGATTTACTAAAGCTGGTTCACTCAGAATCTGGTGCGCTGTGCATGGTAGCCAATCAGCTTCTAACCTCAGCTTGTTCAGTTAAGCTTTAGCAATAAAACCTGTGAACTGATTGGTTTCTATGCAGAAGTCCATGAGATTCTGAGTGAACCAGCTTTAGTAAATAAACCCCACTGTGTCTGTTTATGACTCTACTGTAGTAAACTCCTTTGAGGGCAGAAATTAATATGAACGTTATGTATTATGTATAGATATAGAAAAGAACAGCACTATATACTGTATATGAGAAAATAATTGATTCAACATTGTGGAAACACATGCAATAGAATGTGAGAAGCAACAATCTTCCAGTGTGATGACAACAGCGTAAGTTGGAATTTCACCTCCATTTTGGAAATATTTCCTTTTATTTCCAAAAAAGGAAGTGAAGAGAAATCTGCCCAGGTGAACAGAAGCAAACAAGAAATGGGAAGATTTTAAACATTCCCTATTAAAGAAAACCTAAATGAAAGGTTTGGCTTATACTTTAATTGTATTCATTACTTAAACATGAAGAATTGTATTGTACTTTTGTAGGCAAAGCATTTAAGTTGTTGTTAAGTGATCTGAAATATGAAAATGATTTCATTATTTTTCAGGAATAAATTACAGTGATGTTTACTATGTGATAATCAAACTTGCAAAAATTCAAATTCTGTCTATTTCTTGAACTGATGATGTTTAACGTATTTAAAGTGTATGCAAATACTAACTGTTAAACACAAACACAGTAGGTATCATCTATTTACATCTATTCATCTTTTACATTTAACAGCAGTATCAATAGGAAAATAAGCAAAGAAATACCATTTTGGTGGCTTTTAGTGGCCATCACGCAACCCCTTAGTCCCACAGTTCAGAGGGTGGGGAGACTGCAAAGGACACTTTCAGCTATCACTGACATGGGAACCCCAAACACATTCTTGGGTTATATGTGAAGATGCACAGGAGCCACTGTCTATAACTTAGATTATGGATGGATAGATGAGGGCAAAGTCCTCCACTGACATCACAGGTCCTAGGAGACCTTTAGCTATATGAAAGCCCCAAATACATTTTCAGACTAAAGGCGGAGATGTGCAGGAGTCCCTGGCACTAAAACTGTGGAGGGGCTGGATGGGGAGCTTGAAAGCTGCAATCTAACTTTGGAAATACAGCCATTCCTTGCATAGGAATAGTTTGCTGTAATACCCAAGTCAGAAGAATGGGCAAAAACTGAACAAGCTAGGACTGATCTGCTTCAATGCCTACTATGGTCAGTGACAAACTAGAAGGGCGTATTTGCTCAGAGGACTGGCAAGATCACCAGGTATTTTATGACTTTAGAAGATCCTAGAGATTGCAGAGCTTGCTCTGAGATTAGACATGGAATAAGAGAAATAGTCCCTATATTTTGTAGATAAAATAATTTTTAGCAGGGGCTTCCTGAGACCCGAAAATTACTTCAAAGGTTCCTATAGTGTATATAGTGTAAAAGGTTGAGAAAGCCTGTGCTAGGAAGATAAACCACCTGACAGTTACTTGTATCTCTTGAGGACTCTCTTGTGCTTGAGTTCTTAGGTCCGCGCTCCTGCTGTGGCACTATGTGTGTTCCCAATCACCCTGTTGGACTTTTTTCAAATGTATTTTATTTAATAGAAAACACAACAGGAGGGGCTGGAACAAAGGTGGGTTAAAACTTTTAAAACTCACATGTCAACAGGAACAAAGTTGGTATTCATGGGAGTAAAATCCTGATTAAACCAAGGTATATAAACCAGGGCCTACACTTATATTCTGGGGCAGACTGACATTTTAAAGCATATTTCCACTCTTGCAGTCAAATTGGGATAATACATACCTAATATTTGTTACATGTCCCCATTCACATAGCATAACTTAAAAAAAAGTTTAAAAATTGCATCTTACCATCATTAACCCAGCCTGCACTGTGCAGGCAGATCTTCATTATCCATGGTAACTAAATTTGAATATTGTCTGTTCTAACAAAGATTTAAAGCTGGCCATCCATTTCAGCAGAGACCTGCCACATTTCAATTCATATGTGGCCACTGTGGCAGAACACAGTTGATCTACCAATTGACTTCTCTTCATCTGCCCTGTCAGACTCTAGCTGCTTGATCGGCAGTGCAGGTCATAGACTGCGGTGCTGATCTGTGTATTCTGACAGGGTGGAAGTCCCCCATCCACCTCAAATATGTGGATGGGGGAATAAGGTCAGTTTCCTTCATTCACCTCACTGTTTGAACTAAAAAACTCACTAATGTGTGGGCAGCTTGAAGGTTAGGGAACTGGGCTTCTTGCATTATATGTTAATGAGGACA